TGTGTGGGTTTGTAGCTATTGTTGTACTTCTAAGCATTTGTCATGGCTTGAAATTACAAAACAATTATAAATTTGTATATTATTGTACAAAATACAAAAACGATTGTAGTTAGTGCACTAATGATATAAGATACATGTAATTATAATATGGGACTTATTACCTTGTTATGTTGTTGTTATTTTCTTGTAATCTTATTAGTACTGTAATTTATTGTGTCTGTACATTTATTCTTAATCTACAGTTTAAAGCGATCATCAATGTAAGCACTGGACTATGTTTCATGAAGAAAGAAAAATAGCATAACAACCTAACAAAGGAACATTTGTCACTTCACATACATCTTACAACAATTTAACCATAAAATTACATTCCCTGTTTCAATTGCCATTATATCCAAATAGAAAAGTATGAGAATGGTCAGATTTGATGAAACTGGAGGCATTTTGCCAGGAAGTGGCATTTTGGATCTTAACCTTGATAGACTGCCTACCACTGGCCTTCAATATGATGACACTTCTACCTCCCCACTCTGAGCCCTTATATTTCCTCATCAGTATCATTCTTCCAGTTTTCATATTTACTCATGTATCATCTGAGGATGCACAGTGAGCTAAGTGGCTTCAGTTCCAGAGACATAGTCTCGTCCCATCAAAACGGGATACAAAGTATATGACTGGACACTGGCCAACCATGCCTCTTTGACAATGTTGGTCGATAGTGGTTTTATATTGGAGTATGTAATAGTTATAGAATGACTACCGAGTGACCAATGTTGGACTCTGGAGGTTTAATAAGTACAAACATTTGTCAGGAAATAAAAGTTATTGCCTTATCATCATGCTATTTAAAAAAGATGATGGTTTGTTCTTTGTTTATATAATGGATCAGTTGCCCAGGTTATTTAGCATTGAATGAGATGAGACTCATATACAATGAACAGAAATTATGAGAGGTATCAAGGCATTCACTTTAAATGACTGAAAGAACATTAAAAGAACCAGTGTCCTAGCTAAGGTTTGAACCAGAACCGTTTGGATCCCAACTTAACCTGCTGGAGATGCAATTCAACTCTAAAGGATTGTGACGATGGTGGATTGTACTGGACTTTTAACATCATCCTTGTTTAAAAACTAAGAAACCACGACGTTTTGGAAACTGGATCTGTTTAACTGCTAGATATGACCAAGCAGTGTATAAATAAGGTGTATGGGGAGAATGGATGTAAGGTTAATACTAGACATGAACAATGACCTATAATTTCCCTCGTGTCCTAGTTTTATTTTTCTGAGAAGACAGCAAGTACCACCATTTTATAAATTTGTTGACTGATATATATATATATATATTCTTGTGGAGCCTTTCCACATATTCCTCTTAAATAGCTGATATCTGCCTTATTTTTATCGTATGCATTCACATACTCAAATTTTAAAGGAGATCCACAAGGGCATTGTTAATATTTATTGTGTATTTAACATACAACAATTTTTACAAAAAAATTCATCAATCTGAAAAAATTACATAATTGAAAGCTGTAATAACATCTGCTACAGGGGGGCCTACTTGCAATGAAAAATGACGGTAAACTTATTTTTCATAAGGTTAAGCGGTATTCTCGTTGTAATTGAAATTATCCTCTTAGGTTTGATTACGAATGATTCGATGAGTGATATCTTTCAACTGAATATCTTTGATAACGGCTTTCATCTGTGAGACATTTCATTGGCTGAACTTTGTCATTGGTTGATTTTGTAGTACAGGCATACAGGCGTGGGAAGTAATTGTATGGGAGTTGAGTTTATTAATATAACTTACGTAATTAACGACTACGAAACTGTTTATCCTTTGATTATGTAAATTGTTAGTTTGGCATGATTTGTAATTACTTTTGACATAGAAAGACTAAAACAATATTGTAAAGGCGAAGGTTTGATATTCGGTACTTTGGAGGGAACTTCAAACTATATTTTGGCAGGTGATCTAACCAGACCTAGATTTATTTTTTCGCAATGACGTGATCATGTTCAATTTAAATTCGTAAGGAAGCCGGTACTTTAACGCTTGTTGTATTAGTATTCATTCTGCTAGGTGTGGAATAACGTTTAAATCGCCAGGTTCACATTTGTTCCCATAAAATCGGTATGTTTTTTATTATTATTTTAACTTAAATGGTTAGAAGTATTTAATTATTACTTAAGCAGTCACTCGAATTTCATTCCATTTCAGGTACGACGACAATGTCAGGAAGAAGGAGGGCAAATCGGGCAAGGAAGAAGAGAGCTAAAAGGCAGAAAATGTTGAATTTAATGGAAATAATCAAAAAGAAGGAAGATGTTTCTGAAGAGTTAGAAATGGAACCACTAATAGAAGGGGATATAATTACTGCGGAATCCTCACAATTCTCTGATGTGTTAAGCAGCACTGTAGGCAATGATAGTTTGCATTTGCCTAATGTAAATATGGAACAAGACAATGATACAGCAAGAAAAGAACTTCTGGAACCAGTTGGAGTTAACATCAGCTCTTTGGAAAAAAGAAAGAATGAATTCTCAACACTAAAAAGAGCACCCAAACGAAGTAGAACTTCCATCCTTGGCCAAGGTGGAAGGAAAGATCTCAATTGGCCCGAGAGGAATTCATCTACACCCTGCTTAACATCATGGCTTGTAGCAGCAGAGCAGATGTTTGTGCCTTCTCCAGTGACAGACGATGCACCAAAAGCTAAACGAAGTCGTGATGATGTGACTGTGTACTCAGAGGATTGTTCTCTTGTATGTCAACCTGTTAAAAAAACAAAGAGCATAGCAACTTCCACTAAAGCATCGTGTTCGTCTACCCATCCAGTGATGGAGATAATGGAAACATCACCTGTATTAACACCTAGCAACAAGCGTACAAGGCACAATTCAGTGTTGAATAATTCCTTTACAATTGAGAAGATGTCTGAAACAGATGATTCTCCTCCAGTATTTAGGCCAAAAAAACGCACAAAAAGTATGTCAGGAATTTCACCTCAGACGTCAAAAGAGTCACTGAAACTTTTACCAGAATACCCATTGCCTTCACAGATGCCTTATTTAAAAATTACACCTGCTGAATCTTGTACTACAAGCCCAGTGAGTTTACGTACTTATGCAACAGGTCCAGAACACTATTTGTTTTCAGCACCTCAGTTGCAAGAGACAGACAATAACTCAAATTTACTTGACTCATTCCCTCCGATGGATGCACAAAATAAGGTATGTTATATAGTATAATTGAAATGTGGGCTAACCATTTTCATCATTAGGGTGATGAATGCTGGTCTTTTAGTGTATGTAGCGATGGAACTGTAAGAAGTGGGGACCATGCCTTGGTCTTGCGCCACAGAAAGGACTCATTACTTTCTGCATTTATTTCAGTTTGATAATTTATTAACAAACAAATGGTATGATCATTAGGCTTGTTCATATTTTGATATTCTTTATGTTGGAAAATACCAAAATGAAAATGACTGAAATCAAGTATATGTACAACAGTATAATTATGAGCTTTGGTTCTGAAACTGCCTCTTTCCTTTTTCTGTATTGGAGTATAATCTCAGGAATTGCCTGTTAATAGAAATCCAGCTTGTTGAAAAGATCTTTATTTGTGGTAGTCATTTGCATTAATTTACAAATATGAAATATGCTGAATTAAAGAGGATTGTTCCTTCTTCCCTGCTTAACACTGATATCTTTGTTAAAAGGTAATTGAACATGACAAGGAGTCGCTGACTTATGTTCAATCAACTATATGGAAATTACTCTCTGCAAGCCTGTTGGGTTATCAGAAACGTGTTCAGTGGCCTGCCTGTCTCTCGATTTCCAAAATGTTGGAGATGTGTATGTCAGTCTGCTCAAAGGTAATCTGCTGGCTCAAATTCTCAATGAAATATCTTAGGAAGGTGAGTTCCATGGCAATTGATAAGCTCTTATCAGATAGTTGTGGAAAATATGTATACCGTGAGAATCATTCTCTCTCCTTCCTTTCCCAGCTATTCAAATATTGTGAATCTGCTGGTTGACACTACCATACATTGGCATTTTATTAATTATCATCAGTTAGTCATACAGTATGTAGTATAAATACTGTGTTTTTGTTTCTCTCTTTTACCATTTATTCACTTTTAATTAGGTACATATCTGAATTTTTGTTTGTATATTTAATGTTTTATTGATTGGGATTTAAAAGTTTAAGGTGGAAACCCTTTGTCAGTTTGTATCTATGCCAAGGAAAGCTACTATCAGGCTTTGGTTAATTTTGAATGGCAGATTCTCTAAAATATAATGATTAAATATGATTTGAAGCTTTCTGGACCTCTTATGACTGGCAATTTTCTTGAAAGTGCTGTCTTATTAATTATATATTAAATTGACAATATTTTGGACAGAAGTTATATATCATAACAATATAAATATTTGTTTCTGACACCAGACCAGTCTCTTAGTCCATATTCTTTCCATGTATGTCCAACAATCTAATAGTTTGTCATGCAATTATATTTTGTATTTCTGCTTTTTGTTGGAAACTTCATATAACATTTTACTTGAGTGATTGTTTATGAATTAACTGTGCAGGTCTACACATCGGTGAAATGTTTCATGTCAGTGAACCAGTTTGGGAAGGAATCATGCTGTTCTTGCAGAATGCACAATGAACAACTGGAACAGCGTCTTTCTGCTGTGGAAAAAGAAATTGTGAAGTTGCAGGAATTATTGGCTACCAGAGTTATAAGCATCAAAACCAGTGATGAATTACTCACTGTAAAGAATACATCAGTACCACATCCTCCATGTTGCCCTCCACCACCACCACCACCGCCACCGCCACCACCACCCCCACCCCCACCCCTTATGCCTGGTCAGGAATCAACTATATTGAAAACTGTAAAGAAAACAGAGAGTTTACTGCCCAACAAACAAATATCACGTCTGGCCATTACTGTAGATGATATACGCAAAGTTCAGCTCAAAAAAACACCATCTGCCATACGTGTAAGTACCATGACATACTGACAAAACTAATTTTTTGAATAAGTTTTTATTAACTGTATGGCATTAGCAACCTTGTGAGGCTTTATTAACAGACTTCATATTTTGTGTCTAGACCAGGCAGTATGAACTGTCACATAAATTAAATTTAAACTTTTGGCCATGGGCACAATTGGCAAGTGGAATTTATCTTATTATGTATCCTGTTTAAATCTAAATGGACTAAAGCAAAACAAACTTTTGGTAATCACTGGATTCAGCAATGTGGGTGAAAGATTGATTTTCACATGGTACAACCAGAAAGTATTTTTTGAGACAAACAGTATAAAATGTTTGTCAGGTTCACAAAATTACAAATTCTGAATACTGCTATGAGGATGTTGCAGAATGATACAGAAAGAAGTTTGTATACAGATAATTACAAATTCTTTGCCATAATGGAGAATATTTAATATGTTTAGTGACATTATAAGTAATTGACTTTGTTACATAGGCCAAAAGTTTCAATTTTTTGTTAGTGGTGATACTCTTGATATGCTTTGTGTTTAGTGTTGTGATCCACAAATCCACGTTTGTTAAGGCCTTACCTTTATTGCTTGAATTAATTTAATTATGCACAAATAATTTCTTTACTGTACCCTTCCACCCTCAGGTTTTGATACATTACCTCTAATTTTTCCAGGGAGAATGTCGTACACCAACTATAGCTCACAGAGGACCTGTAGTATCATTGGAAATGTTGCGTTCTGTTAAACTCCGGTCCAGTCAGGCAAGACGCAAAAGTAGTGAACAAAATAAAGGATCATCCAAGTTTCCCTTCCATTCACCTAGGTGAGACCCCTTTCGGATGAGAAGTTCTGGGCAGAACTCATGAAGCTAACTTTCCTGAAGCACAGGATTCTTTTTTTCTTCTTATTCTTCTTCTTCTAGCGTCATATCTATTTTATACTGGTCAATGGTGCACTGATTTTTATTTATGTAAATCTTGTGTTGGTAATGTTATATTTAGTAATGTAAGTACATAATCTGACAAGAAAATGCAGTTTGGTTTAACTAATAGGTTAGCATGCTTATTTGTATGTGATCATAGGATGGAGTCTTTGTTTTCAATTGCTTGCAGTTGTAAATTGTGGTACAGATTGTTGTAATGACTATTACTACTATCATCATCATCATTTTACAGAGAAATTACCATATTTCTTGAGTACAGATTCTGTTTACATTGAATTTGTCAGATATAATCTGAAAGTTTTTTCAGTTTCACAGAGTCTGTAATTACTGAATTAAAAACAATGTTTTTCTAAGGTCTTAATAACAAATTTCATGTTCCTAACTCATCCAGTAGCATAACACTCATACCATATTGCATGAAAATTGTTCATTTGGTTCAGAAGTTTATATGAAGAAGCACAGCATTGTTTGCTCATAAGATTGTGTTGTTTTTTGTTATTAAGAAAGGAAAGCAGGCTAATAAATAAGGAAGATTAAGCAGAGTAAGCAATATTAGGAGTATGGAATGCTGCAGCAATAATTTGGAATTTCTTTGTCTGAATCTCCTTGAATAATGTAGTAACAGAAATATATTACTGCAGATCAAACTGGAGATGAATTTCAATGATTAAAATGGCTCTTTAGGTTCTCAAGAAGCAGACAGGGTCCAACTAAAAAGTGTAAGAATTTGAAGACTTTGAAACTTTTGTTGTCTCATAGTGAATTTTGTTATTTGCAATTACGTCATACAAAAACGTCACTCCACACTTAATGCTTATATATACATTTACAAAGAATATACCTATTTTGATCAAACATTAACAGAAGGGTGAGTGAGAAGTTGACCCATCTCATTTGATGAAGTGGAATGTTAATCAAGTTATGTAAGTTTGGCACATCAGCAGTACAGATGTGCAGTAATAACAGTTCCAGTGCACCTTACATAACTATGCTTTTCTTCACATTCTTATGCAAAATAATTACTATTATTTAAGGTGATTTTAATGGACAGTAAAGCAGTAATATAATGGAGGGGAATAGTGAATATGTGTTGTATTTTCTCAGCTTTTTAATCTTTTCTTTAGTATTTGTATAATTTGAAACTATTAATATGAGAATATTCTTCAGGAAAACATTTTATTTTATCAACTGTCATAATAGCAGATTTACACTGTAACTAACTAATGAACTCTGGAGCAGATTCCTTGAGAAGCTGATAGTATGCTCAGTAAAGAAATTCTGCACCTTTTAATGTAACCTGAAGGTTTGTTACTGTGTTCACAAGAGCCTGTCACTGGTTCCTATCTTGAGTCAGATGAATCCCTGAATCCAGTTCACACCTTCCCATCCTGTTTACATAAGACACAGTTTCATATTGGAGGTCTTCTGAGTGGTCTTTTCCCTTCAGGCTTCCCAACCAAAATTTGTAAGAATTATGAAGCTGCTCTCGTTTTGCTGTTTTCTTCTGCCTCTTATCACTTCATCCCATTTAAGTTCATATATTTTCCTCAGTGCCTTGTTCTCAAACATCTCATTCCATTTCAGAACAGGGCACTTTGAAGAATATTTTGACATAAGAGGGATGAAGTGTCCAGAGGCTGGAGAAGACTGCATAGTGAGGAGTTCATTAATCTGTATTATTCTTCTGTCCAGTTTTACAGCATGTAATATCCACTGTGAAATACAATTTGTTTGCTTATATTGTATTAATATCTTGCACTCTGTGTCTACATTTTGAGATAAATATTTTGTATATTTATGTTTTCATAGAGATGCAGCCATTTGTTCGCGTATACTGCAGAGTGTGGACACCAATGTGAAAGTGCGGCAGGGTGTTTTAAAGGAAAGTGATTCTTGTTCAAATGAGGAGAAGCTGCCAGCATGAACTTGAGGTAAAAATCGCATAAAACTGTGACTGTACCCTTTCCATGGCATAAGCAGTGACAAAGCCTAAGGCTGAAGACTGAAGATGGACAGGAGCACAATCATTGACACCAGCATTGAATTTGACCAGATATATAAGGATATCAGAATATGTCTCAGGTGCATTTTGTAGGTTTGTTATGCATTTTATGACTTTTACTTTAAGCAACATTTCTCACCTTAAATGTTTGCGTAAAGTAAAATATAAGTATGAGTTTATGTATTTATTATTAGGTGAGTGGTCTTTAGCATTGACATAGGAAAGACGTTTCTGGTTTATGTGGACAGAAGTTATTACTAATCAAAAGCTGAGGCTGATATTATTTAACATTCCTTGCCTATGTCAACTTTGCTTTCATAACCATTAAGTAACATTTAATGTTACTGAATGTCTAAAATCAAGTAGTGAATACCTGAAGTCAGGGCAGTTACTTAAACACGCTTAGTAGAAAGACTTACACCAATAAATAATATGGATCAAATGATATAAATAGGATAATTCTTTGAAAGTGGCATGAAATGATATTTAATCATGTATGATGTGGCATATATAATGACTTTTTTCCTTATTCTGCAGTCAGCATGATGCGAATATTATTTAACATTCCGGTGTTGTATGCTGTGTAAGTGACTAATTGTTTTCCATTGTTTGCATTGTATAATTTCCAGGATTTGTGGGGGTGACAGAATAGACATTTATATGCTTCATTCTGGTGCTTGTAGTCTGTTAATATCTTTTATTATTTGTCATACATTCATTAAAATACAAGAATTGTACAACCTGCCTCACTTTGAATATCTTATGGTTGCATAAGAGTGTAATTCCTAATTATTATTATTATTTGCTCTGTAAGGTACATCAGAGAGCATTAACACATGGGGCAGTCTTCTGTGATGACTGCTGAATGGACAGTAAATGTTCATATACAATCTTGCCCATTTGCAAATATAATCATAGACATCACCACATTTATACATTTCAGAGATAATCTTTGAACAACAGAAGAAACAATATTGTAATTTTCAATTAAAAGATGTGATATTGCATGAACTCTGTGATGTGAATGTCTGCTGTTAAGGATAGATTCCTTTCCATTCATTGCAATACAGATAACTATGAAAAGAGTGAAAGAAACTGTATAATTAGGTTGTGGATAATGTGTTTGTGTTATTGCTGAGATGAAATTGATTACCAAATTTCTCAATGATGTTCATAATGTTAAGTGTTTTCTGTAGTATCTGGTTCAAAGGTATTGTGATCTTTATAATATGAAATATCTGTTCAGAAATCAACTCTTCTAGGGCTTACATTTGCATTAGCTGAATGCAGATTAATTGTTAACATTGTGAACTAATTAATATATTTGTCTTGTTTCGTAATGTACAATGTAATTTATTTTTGATTATTTTTTAACATGTTTGCTTTGACAGTTGTATTGACTTTGTAATATGTTTTTTTATATACTTTTGAAATTGAATTTGAAGTCTGTTATACAAACAGGTAATGATTAACAAATTATTTTTTATGTAAGAATAGTCTGATACCTAGCAATAAAAACTAACAAGAAAGACTTGTCGAATGGTTACCAACCTACAGTACCTATAGTGACTTCCAGATCCTTTACATAGGACTTTTCTGTAGGCGCTTAAAGACCATGGCTGAAGGCATATAAGGGCTTTGAGTTAAATTTCCATGGCATTTGATTAGGGTGAATTACTATAGTCTTGTTGTTTTACCTGCTGAAGGTAGAAAGCTCAGTGCCTGTTGGATAGAAAGGTGAGGAGAATACAGAGCCATTCTGATTGTGGTGACAATGGTGCATGAAATGTGACATGTAACCAGGTCCTATTTAAGATGATGCTACTATATAAAATAGGTATTTGAGCAGATGTATTTCTTATAAGCTGGCGCAGTGGCCACGCGATCTGAGGCATGGTCCTCATGCGCTTGGCTGCTGCGATTATAGGTTCAAGTCCCACTCAAGGCATGGATGTTTGTCTGCATCTCCTCTTCCAGTCTGGTGGGTAAAGACTGGCCACGGAAGGCAAGGCGAAATCACCATGGTACTTTCACAAGAAAACCCCGAAAGGGATCACTACGGTCAAGCTTGACCATGGACGGTGAAAAAAAAATTCTTATAAGCATTTTGTTGAATTAATTGCTTGACAAAAGAACTACACTAGTTAATGAAATTAGGAGGTATACTAGTTTCATGCATTTTTAACTTCAGTGTGAAGGTGCATCCAGACTACTCAAGCACAGGTTTCTGCAGTCTCATGTGTGTGTGTAAATGTGGATGCTTCCATAAACCCAAGCAGTGTGATAACAGAAGTTAAGGGATTCATGTGCTAGCTACAGAGGCACAACTTCAGAGAGAGGTTTGTAATGAAGAACCCCATAAACCAAAGCATCTCAAGCCACTGAATGAGCTGTTTTGACACAGCATGTGGTCAACTTCATGTCTCAGTCAGTTTTCCTAACCAGTATCCTCCAGATAAAAGGTTGGATAGTCCCCAAGACTCATAAGGATGTGGCGCTCAAGAGACATTCTTGTCTTACTAGGATTCGAACTCTGGTCGCCCAGTCTATATCTACTTGGTATATTGACCTTCGTACTGACCGCTATCCTGGTTCTGTCAAATGACTTAATTTAAAATAAAAACAGAAATATGTTGCTTTCAAATTTTGCAGACTTACGGCACTATTTATTATGTACGCGTTCAATATATTCATCCGCATTGCCTGCTATGACATAATAGTTTAAATTCTTTATTTAGCATCAATAACTATAAATCGTAGCTACTATTTATTGAAGAAAATAAAATGTTATAACCGTTGATTTGGTAGTATGTAACTATTTTACTTCTCTCGATGCATATATCATGTGTTATGATTATGTAGAAACAGCAGTAGCAGCTGCCATCTTTAAAATGGTGGTTAGTGGTACGTGGATGAGTGTTACATTTCTGTAGGTTTTACAAGTAACTGTCGAAATGACGGAAGGAAAAGTTTCTGCTAATGAAGCCGAAATGAAAGGCTGGTTGTTTAAATGGACAAACTATTTAAAAGGTTACCAACGACGATGGTTTGTTCTGTCCAACGGTCTCTTGTCTTATTACAGGTGAGTAAAGTATTACCGCATCACAGTAGAAATATGTGTTTGTAAGCTGTTACTTACATTACAAGCATTTGGCATTATCATAACAGTGATATGAATAACAAATTTATTTCATTGTATGATATCAAGGCTATGCACTTGCGTCGATAGCTTACTCATCATTGAAGGTAAATGAAGGACAAATTTTGACAGATGAATTAGGCCTTGTACTTCTTGTGTCTGGGTTGCATGGTGTCAGATTAGGCTTTGGGGAAATTTTAATCGTAATTATCCACCTATAGTGTAGTTATTGTGTTGATAGGGTTGACACTTCGTTTTCATATTTCATGCTCCGTACAAATCAGGGTTTATTCTAGGGCCGAAAATTCAGGGGGGTCCAAACTGTCTATCCGCCGACGTCGGCGGGCTGGTCGGACCGAGTAAGTATAGTGGCAGCATGAACTTGAGCTAACATTTATTACTGAAAGAACTAACTCTGCTCGATCCCCCGCCATTTCCAGTCGTTCAAATAGACATTTTTGGCTTCCCTCACAACCCTATGCTCACCCACCAACTGCTACTAGAGGCAGCTTTATTAGATTTGCATGTTTATTCCACAGACCTGCAGGATGAGTGAAAACTATATACTTAGTATGCATAGTAATGACATTCTTGAAATGTTAAGCCCATAAAGAGATGGAACAGGTTTGTTAATTTCATTTTTAGAGTGTCATTGTCACAGTACTGTTATATGAGAATCCTGTAGAATAAACCCTGAGAATTATTGGATATTCTTTGCATGGACTGCTCAGATCCTCTTCTCTGCACATAATTTTTCTACCAAACTAATCGTGAGGTACCAAGTTTCAGTTGCAGCAGAATGTAACCAGCAGTCTCTCTGCCATAACCATATTTTTTCTAGGATTACCCAAATTCGCAACCTGATGAAATAGTTTGAGGCAGTACTGCGTCAGATAGCCACCATAATATGTGTTTTGTCGATCATTTGTTGATAGTGTTTGCATTTTTTAATATACACTCTTGTTTTCTAAAAACAAGTGTGAAGTGAAACAGTGATGATTAGTGTGTCTATAATTGATGAATCAAAAGAACTGAAGCTGACAGCAGCCGCAAGACTCCACTGGACTGATCACTTACAACGTATGGGAGATGATCAGATGCCCAGGCGACTCATATGTACAAAGCCGGGGGAGAAAAGACACATTGGAAAACCAAGTGCAAGGTGGTTCAATGAAGTCAGTAGTGACACCAGGAAGATATGAATTAGAAGTGGTAGGCAAGAGCTCTGGATAAAGAATGGCAGAGGCTTTTAAAGGAAACCAAGACTCTAAGAGAGTTCTAGTGCTATTGATGATAATTGATTAATCATTGTTATGCTTAGTAAGTGCTTGTGATGACTTTTCACTCTGCTGCATTTTTATTAGTTTTATTTATTATTTCTTAAAGAGAAGAATCTAACTATGGATTAATCAGCCTTTTGATTAACTGCACTACCACTTAGTCTTTTTTTATGCTGGTTAAGTGGGAGTCCACTGTAATACCAACTAGATAGGGTGTGTGCACACACATGTGCATGCTCACACACAGACATACATACATACATTCTTGCACTGTAGTTGGCTGCATCTTTAATTGCTTGGGGTTACTACATTTTAGTAATTTTTCTCCATATGTAATGAACACTGTCATATAAAATTCCTTATACAAAATCTTTCCTTGTCTTGCTTGATTTTGCATTGCTACATACAAGCTAATATGAAGACCTCATCTGTTTGGGATATTTGCTAAAGGCAAATGTAAATTTTGCTATGAATAGAATAACATTTTCTATTCCATTTACATTTTGAGAGTTCAGCACCTCTTTGGTTGCAACCATGATTGTATGAGTGTATTAGTCTTTTGTCTGCTTATTATTCTTTTGAGGACCACTGAAGATAAAGAGTCAGAAAGTATATGCCCAATATGCAGGAGAGAGGAATGTAGTTGAAGTTCTATAATTCATAATAGGATGTATGTAATATCTGCTTACTGTTTGTAATGCTCTTTGCAAGGTACATTTAGTTTTTGGTATTGTGTTTCAGTGTTCATGATAGTATTAACATTTGGCAATGTCTGTTCTGTGCATAAGATGTTTTGTTATATGTATATTATATGTACCAAAATACAGCAGTATTAACTTTTTTAATTCTATAAAACTTGGTTTTGTTTAATTTGCTCCTTCGTATATTGGTCACCCGTTGAACATAAGATCAAATGGACCCAAGTTTCAACCAGAATAATTTAAAACTAGATGTGCATCTGTGCCATGGTTGGTTTGCTGTAATCCATTCCCTTGTTCTCTTTGCACTTATCTCTGTCAATGTCATCAAGTAATTTAATCCTGATTATAGTGACCTTTAATAAGAGACCTTTGGTTTTCTGTTTGTGTTATACTCTTCTATTAGTTTATAATGAAGTACAAATTGTACTTCATTTTGGCAAGAATATGGCTTGGTCAGTGCCAAATATTTGGTGCTTGAGCTGCTGGCACAGTTGTTCTTTCCCAGACCCCACTGAATTGCATAGTAATTTCAAGTAACTTGCATGTAACAATGAATATTGGCTTCTAAATGGGTGTTCATTTTGTAGTTTTGCCCATCAATCTGACAGTATTATAATAATTATTTATCAATGTGATTTGTTATCTATAGATGAACTACAGGGAGATTTTTTGGCAACTGTACAGGGGCACGGCCTTTCTGCTGTGCCCAGACACTGCGTTGGTTGCTGCCTAGTTGGTCAGCTGCAGCGATTGTGAGATTGCAGTAACATAATAGAGCGAAGTTTATTCATCTATTTATGTTACAGGGGTGCTGAACAAGTTCCCATTGGCTCAGATCCATTCCCCATACCTTCTAAACAGATTTTGACTCATGCTGTGTAGGTATTCCCTGGTTGTGTGGGAAACTTCAGGTTGAATGATTTCTCTGAGTTATTTACTAGGCTTTAGTTTTTAAATATACTCACTGGCTGAAAGTACAGATATTATGCCCAGCAGTTAATTCACATAGATACAGAGACTGAACAACTGTGGTTTATAGTTTTAATAATTTTATAGCAGTTCTTGTGGTCCCCTTTGATACTCCAATTTCTTGTGCAAGGCACATAAGAGGCTTGTAAGGTAAATGTTGAAGCCAAGCTTCAATATCACCTTACTTTTTCCTTTAATAGTCAGCTACTCCATTCACACACAGAAGAAGGCAATGGCAAACCACTTCTGGATCATCTGCCAAGAACGTATATGAACAGGTCCCAGTCCGAGAAAAGGATGGAAGGATCCTGTTCATATGGACCTGTCGTCAGACAGAACACTAAATAAATAATAGTCAACAATGACTTTCAGATTGCCTGTCAATTAGCACAGCAGTTCTTATATTATTGTTACGATTCTGAGTAGCGTTTCTGTCGGAAAACTCCAGGAAGTCTTCCTCTGACTTCCCAGCAGTGTTACACTTCACATTAGATTAATGTAAAACCACTCCATGCTCTAGTATGAACTTACCCATGTCCTTTATAAATAAATCTTGCCCGATACTTAGTCACATGTGAATATTTACACTTTCTCTTTTCACCACTGCTGACTCTTCAGGGTAACATCCACTGCTGTCGCAGCTGATCAAGTAGGAAAGGCAGCAACCAATGCAGTGACCATTTATAGTGGAAATGCCTTGCTCAGGTGCAGCCACCAAAAAAACCACACTATAGAAAGGACTGGGGAGGAAGTGATATGGCCTGTTTGAAGGTACTGTTGTTGTGGAATTTCAATGAAGGACTGCTGAGAGCAACAATAAAACTGTCTCCTTGATTCATATTAAGCACTTTATCAAGTGAAAAAAAGGATTTACAAAGAAGTCTATTTAGGAGGGGTGTTCCAAAAGTGATATCCAAGGGTGTGTTGTACTCATTTATTGCTTAACACTGGTTTGCAACTGTTAACAAACTGTCTATTTTTTTACATGATTGTTAGAGCAACTGAAACATTTATCACAGCAATATGTCACTTGTTCAGTTTCCATAGAAAATAAATCAGGGCTCAGTGTTTGCACCCAGTGGTGCACCTAGACTTTCACTTTTTTGTCACATGAAAAATGTTTTCATTCAGTGGTCTGAAAATCTGGAAATCACAGAGTGCAAGGTCTCATATGTATGATGGATGGGAAAGATTCTAGTGAAATTACTCCAGGAGTTACATTGTGGCACTGGCTTATTGGGGGTGGGCATTGCTGGGTGTTTCTGTTAGATAGCTTCCTTCAGGTGTCAGTAACATTAATTGGATTTAAAAGTAATTGGATGTAAGGATGTAGGCTATATTCATCTCACTCAGGATAGGATCTAGTTTCAGACTCTTGAGAAAATGGTAATGGACCTTCAAGTTTCATGAAAGGTGGTGAATTTTGTGCCCACCTGAGTGACTATTAGTTCCTCAAGGACTCTTCTGCATAAAAGTAGTTAAATTGGTATTACTGAAGAAGTGTAAATAGATTATGTATTATTTGTTATCCACTGGTCAGCTTATAATGTAGCTGTTATGGTGACTGCTAATAAATTGTAACACTTGCTTTCCATTAGAAACCAGGCAGAGATGGCACATACATGTCGTGGCACCATAAGTCTGCATGGAGCACTTATCAATACAGAAGATTCATGTACATTTGTCATCTCAAATGGTGGCACTCAAACATTTCATATGAAGGCTGCTAATGAAGTTGAACGACAGAGATGGATCACAGCCCTGGAACTGGCAAAGACTAAAGCTACTCGTCCCGTGGAATCAGGTGAGTGACATAACACATCTATGTTGTTGGCATGTTTAACAGGTTTTGGTGGGTTGTAAAGTTGAAGCTGATATAAATATATTTGAAGGGTGTGAAGCTTGTAAACACTATGCTTTGTCTACTAAATCTTCTGTGCTTAAAAAAAGTGCTCTCATGCATTCATAAAGATATACGTGGTCCAGCATGAGTGACTTCAGCTATTGGAAATAACATTTTTAAATTTCATGTTGCCAGGTCATGTGCATATAATGGCCTCATTTGTGTGGTTGTCAGGCTTATCCTTATATCAGGATGTTTTCAGTGCACGATTGACAGATCAGGGTGGAGGTATACAATTAGAGGCAAAAATACTTAGGAATAGTGTATTATAATTTTGAGGTTAATTCAGGGAAGCAGTGTCTTGTTGGTTGAGTTTTTTATCAAGTCATTTATGGAAATGAAGTTTAATTTGAGGTTGTACAAATTATTTTTACTCAATCCTAATAAAAAGTTGTCTTTAATGTGTATAAGATTCTGCAAGTAATGCTTTAGCCGTCATTATTGAAACATGTTTTCTTAAATAACATGTAAGAATCACAGTTATAATTTGCAATATTGGTACTAGGGTATAATTGGGTTTATAAATGTATTTAAGAAGATAAAAGTATCATAATGGTTATTTGTTTGCGCTTCCCATGATATTTTAAATAAGCAGAAGAATTTCTTTTGTTACTGGTGTTATGCAGACTGAACTATGTACATGTGAGCTATCCTATACACACATGAATGTATGAGCTTTCTGTTTTTTCTTTTAACTGTATCTGATTTAATGTAATTGCAATCACTGAATGTATAAGCCTGAATGACTTTTGACAAATAAATCGTTTGTAACTGGCGATCTAAGAACTTTGTCAAATATCCATACTTCAGAAATATATCATCTTTAAGTGTAGAATGTTAACTAACACAACTTTATCCTTCATGTTTAGCGTAGGATTGTTTGTCAGTGTTGGTCTTTTGGGTTGTAACACCTTGTGGTCCTGTGAGTAGATATGTTTCAGAGGAATATAATACCTTCATCTTCAGAAATATTTGTATCTGCCTACAATGCTATGTGGTGTTACAACCACAAAGACCAGTACTGACACATTTACTGCTGTGAGAATCTCAGATATGATATGATGGTCTTGATTTGTCAATGGAGAATACTGGTATCTTTCAAGCCCTGAAATTTGCAAGCATTGTGATAGACCAGTGATGACCATCGTGTATTTTGCTGCAGAAGAAGAGGAGGAGGAATATGACGAGTCAATGGCATCACAAAAGAACGAGGTCCAAAATGTGATCAAATCACTGGTATCTAGGTTGGAGGATCTGCAAACATGCAGTGACCTTATTGCTAAACATGGTGCTGCCCTGCAGCGCTCTCTCTCAGAACTGGAGTCACTGGATACTGCACAGGACATTCCCACGAAACTGAAGTCTGTCAATGAAAGGGCTACACTATTCAGGATAACCTCAAATGCTATGATGAATGTGAGTAGTTGATTGAGTTCTTGTAAACAAGCAGTTCTCAAGCAAAGATATGGTGTGCCACATTCACAAATAAATGCGCTGTTTTTACATTTTATTTTAATGTTTTACACATATTTTATACTACATTAAATATCTTTACATAATTGGACATGTAATAAACATTTAGGTGCAGAATTTAATCAAGGTATAGAGGAAAAGGATTTAGATTAACTGAAGAATGCCTTGTCATATAAATGTGACTTCTAGACATCTTATCTAAACATTTCCTGGTGTTTGGATTCATCAACATATTGAGGCATCAGTAACTGCTGTGATTCTTGAATTTTTAGATTTGGCCACATCTGTTAATGCGTTAAATGAATGCTTTTATGAAATGCAGTGGTATGAAAAATCTGGTCATCGTTCCCTTACTTAAAGTGATTAAGAATCTTGGAAATAATTGTTATAGCAGAAATTAAGAAACCTGTTTTTAAAATTAATTTGACATGATTTGCATGTCAAACATCTTATTATATATTTTGGTTTAAAACTTGAAAACTGAAAGGGTATTGAATTCAATAATTTGTTTGATTTTAAACATAAATTCGTATGTTTTGTATTAATTCATTAAGTACTGCATATTTTCCTGCCCCACAATATACAACATTGTAAGAAATATGACATCAAACCCAAACCATGCTTTAAAATACCGTTTGGAGATTAAGAATGAAATTCCATCAGGAATTTGAATAAATATTGTAAAATGGTAACAGCTGTGAAAGCAGACATCATCAATGTAAAAATTGTGACTCATATTTAAGGATATGTGGTTGAATGTATTGTTAGTTGGCGTACATTTTGTTGCAGATAGACAAGTTTTTTCAAGACTTGTTTTCATTGTCTGTGTTATCATCTCTTACCTGCTGCTAACATTCATACCTAATAAATAGTTAATGAGAATTCAGTATGAAACAACAACTAAAAGCAGCATTTATCTAATTACTCAACCTTATAATAGTTCTTGTCAATGTTTGGTTTTCATCTTAGGGAGCATTTATTTTGATTTCTAATAAATTGCTGCAGCATTTCAATAAATTGTCCTAACATACAACTCTGTGGCTCAGAAGTCAATTAGAAAGTGTGAATGGGGGCCCAGGTGTGGAAAAGCTTGGGAATCACTGGTATAGATTTTTGTGTATTTTATGTTCAGTTTATATCTTTGCATTCAAGGTGAATGATTTCCACTGAATGAAAACAAACTAAAAATATTCTCATTTTGACATTAGTTAGTGTAAGTTATACCACAAATGTTTTGTTGTGCATGCATGTGTGTGTGTGTGTTTAAATGTACCATTAGGTTTAAAGACTGTTTAATTTCAGAGTTCATTACCAGATATGTGGTGAAATTGAAATATACATGCAACACTAAACTGGCCTGACATCGAGGTTGAGGATAAAACTTTGCAATTATTGCACCATATCTGTATGCTGTTAAGTGATAAAAATATGCTAAGCTGTAAGGGGACCTGAAAATAAAGTATGGATGACATAAGGGTTGTTGCAATACAACAGAGATAATGAGGAAGATTAAAATTTAGAGCGAATGGGGGCACAAAGTATTGTGGCAAGTCATAGTTGCATATATGTAAGAGATTAGATGACAGTGCTTGTTTCCTGCATGTGCATGGTATTACTGTATATGAGGGAGGTAAATGTTAACAGTTCTAGAACTCAAGAATGACACAATTTAGAGACTTGCCATTTTTGCAGGTTTTGTATGGAAATATGTGACACATGTTATGACAGGCATCTCATGTAACACTTTTGCATGGATTGCTCATTGGTGAACCTCAGTTTTATTTTTTGTGTGACACTTTCACTTAGTGTTGTTGTCATCATCATCAACAACAACAATAACAACTCGAGGAAGGTGGGGTGGACTATGCACATTATGTAGCATGTATAGAGCTAAAAAATTCTACTTTTGGTTGGAAAACCTAATGGGAAGAGAACACATTTTTTGACGTAAATACGTCTATATGGAAGGGTTATTTGGCAAAAAAGTGAAAGGAAAACGTGTAAGATCCATATCAACAATGTGTAAATATTGACCGACAACAATGGTCAGCTTGTGTGCATAGTTATATTCCCTAAGAAACGTCATCCATTTACTCGGCATTTTTGTGTTACATTACTGCCGTCAACAATCCTGGGGTCTTGGGTTCGATTCCCAGTGGTGCCCGAATTTATAACTTGTGTTGGGCAAGGCTGTGGTCTAGGCAACACGGAGTTTTCCTCCGGGGGCTTCCCCGGTTTCTCCGTGGCATCCCAACAATTACTCCATTCACACACAGAAGAAGGCAATGGCAAACCACTTCTGGATCATCTGCCAAGAACGTATATGAACAGGTCCCAGTCTGAGAAAAGGATGGAAGGATCCTGTTCATATGGACCTGTTGTCAGACAGAACACTAAATAATATAATAATAATAAAAATGTTTTAGAATATCACAAGTACTTATCTTATGTAAGACTTATTACATTACAGAGACGTCAGATTCTCCGGAACCGTGGTTCCACTGTCAACTTTTTATGTAGGCTTAAATGGAAAGCTATGAACTTGATTATATTGGCTCAAAATTATATCCAGTGGTGGACATTTGTAATTAATGACCATTGAACCTTTGGGATTCATAACAGGGAGTTTCATCAGGAAAATGTAATCTGCTTAAGGAAGAAACTGCACTGTGGAATCACTGCATGAATGTTTTAAGACCACATTGTTGAACTATAATGTTCCCAAGGACATCATATCCCATTCTCCCTTGGCCATTCTTCAACCATAGAATTATGAAAGTTGGACACATGTAGGCTATATATTTTGTTCTTTACCTTGCTAATCATATTTGGAGTTTTATAGTAGGTGCGTACTTGAAATTAAATCTACGTTACTTGTAGTGGAAGATGTGTATTTTGTCCCAGACATTCTGTATTTATTTATGTTTTATTTTACAATTCTGTCAGTAGGATCTCAATGGTAGAAAGACAATTTTTGAACCAGTCATTTCTTAAATTTTATGTAGATAGACAGTTGGGTTTACAGTTTCATAGGTCTAAGCCTTGGATGTTCCTGATGTTTTCTCTTATAAGGAATTACAGGGTTTCATGAAAGGAAATACTCTTATACAGATTTCATAGTCTTTGATTTGTAGAACACCGGTGGAACTTCAACAGTTGTTTGCACAAAATAGCAAATTTACTTAGGTACCTCAAGATCTGTATGATCTGTATCTGCTCAAAATCCATAAAATTCAGTTGCTGAATCAGTGAGAAGTATAGTTTGTATTGGCAACAAATTACTGGGATAATGTAGTATGTTAATGCTTTTAATTGTGTAGAATGCAACCCATCTTTAACATTTTCAGCTGAAAGGGAAATTTGTTCCCATGACATGTATTTGTAATTGGCCATATGAGACTATATTGTATCTTTTATACCATGATATTATTGAAAGTTTCTTATGTTTGCAAAAACAGAGCCATGTATGTCAAAAATGATTCTGTATGCTTTGCATATTGTCAGAGATTTGTTTATAATTTAATCATCTGCTTTAAGTGGTGTGTTTGCTAACATTCTTGTGAAGTTTTAAAAAATATTAAAATAATTATAATTGTCTCCTTGGAGCTGTTCTGTCTTTGTTATCCCACAGAATGTCAAAATGTGAAACACCTCTTGTTAATCTCAATGCAACTTTCATAAAATCCACATCCCCTTTGCCTGCTTATTTTATCAAGATATAGGCATTAAAAACAGGCAGTAATGTAGTCCACTCAAAAGGAATAATAAGAGGATTGGGTGTCACTTTGAAGCTAACTCGTTTTGCAGTAAAATTCTTATACCATCCTTCAGTGAGTGTTAAGTCATGCACAGTAAGTTGCTGTTTACCATAGTCCTCAGCATTAGAAGTTTATTCTTTTTGTAGGAGAATTATAGTTAGAGAGGTTTTGGTTTTGAGGCCCATTAGAATTGCCATGAGGGGCCAACGATTTATAGATGTGGTCACCAGATGTTCTTATTAAAATAAAAAAAGTTAAGTTTAATGTGTTATCAAGTTTTGTCCAAATATCTGAATTTCTTTCGTTATCCAGTCACTGAATAAACTTTCCCTTTATCACCATCTGCAGAAGAGCTCTGGGTCCCACCCATCTTCCCATCCAGTGGGTACTGGGGGCTCATTCCTTGGAGGCAGAGTGTCTGGAACATTAATATGATAATTCACTCCATTTAGTGATGAGGTTAACAATACATGGAGCTATATCTCCAAATTCATAGTTTGGTGCTTAATTAAATATAGGGACATTTTATTCAGTACCCACATATTTCTGCGTGTGTAGTGATGGAAGCTCCTCATATATTTTAGAATTTAACTTGAAAATATTAATTTAGAATTAAAATGACCGTAACAAATGTTTGCTTGGAGATTGTTGTGCTAGGCAAATTTGCATTGTCACTTATTAAAGTTTTGCATTTAATTGCTTCAGGATGCTCAAAACATTTAAGGAAGCCCAGTAAAACATTTATAAAACAGGGGAGCAAGTCTTTGTGATTAGAAGCTGTAAAACACTTCTCCACAAAATGTATTCTCTGATTTAACATATAAAATAATAACCCATTCTTCTGTTTAAAATGTGGAATATTTTTCTAGGCTGTCAGTATTATTGTGTCTCAGATTCCTGTACATCTCTGTGCAAATAAAACATTGTGATTTGTTATTCTTCAGTTAGAGAATTATAACTGTATAAGTGCTTCACATTGTGTATATGTTCAGAATAAATAACACCTGACCAAGAGGCATGGATTTTGTTTCACTTTAGCCAAAGGGTTTAATTATTAGATGTACACCTTTAAACTCATAAGTACTGTGTTGTTTTATTGCAAGCAGACATGCTCAGATTACCTAGACCTGGCACAGACACATGGCCGAAAGTGGCAAAGGATGCTACAGCATGAACGAGACCAGCGCTTGAGGTTAGAAGATATGGTGGAACAGCTAGCACGGCAGCTTGGAGGCCTGGAACAAGCTGCCAAGGAGCACTCAATCCCTGTGAGGGATAGAAGCAGTGAGTTTTTCAAGTACAGCAAAATGCATGAAGGAGATGTTTGTATGTCCAGGCCATGTGGTGATGAATTACTGTGAGATACAGTTGAATGCCTTGCCAAGTCAAGTACCTATTGCATATTCCCTTTTATATTTACACATAGGCTTTTGTATGTACACATTATCCTTACACTGCAATTAACTTCAGCATCTATTGTGTGAGATATATTTGATTTTGTACAGTGTTTTGGAATTTGAATACCCTGCTATCTTCAAGTGACTGGATGATGTGTATGGACATTATCCATTGTCTTGTAAGGGAAGAACCTGAATAATGTTTCTCATAGAAATGCAGACAAGGTGCTGTGCCTGTGTAGAAGAGTTTGAGACGCTGTTTTCACTTATAAAGAAAATATGCCATGCCACAAATATAATTGATGTGAGTTTGTCATTTCAAAATATTTATTGCATACTTGTGAACCATTGCTGCTCTTTCATCACTGAAGCCTGGCATACATAAGGCCTGATAAAAAGTATTGACAGAATCTGTGAAAATCAAGATACTATATAGGGCTGGGAGGGTAATACTGTTCTAAGCAGGCTCCAGTGGCATATCCTCACAAGTTTCATCAGTAAGCACATTCCAGAATTTTTTGGAATCACCAACAGTAGTTTCATTGCATTTTCTTTAAATGATTCCATGGCTTTTCAAATTTTCTTAATTCAGGAAGCCATAAGGAAATTGTCTTCTCTTAATATATTCTGTGTTGTAGCTAAAAATTGCCACACAAATGGTGCTGAATGTGTAGGTATATTGTCATGGTGAATTTACCACTCATTTAATGATTATCCATAACCTGCATTAGTTGGAGAAATCTATAAGAAATTGTGTTAAAGACATGTTACCAAACTAGGACCTTATTTAAAACTGAAAAAATGTGCATAGAATTATTTATTTGTGTTTTATCAACCCAAAACCACTGAATGTGGTAGATCTTTAGTTGTTAATAAAGTGATAAACCTGTTTTTGAAACAAGGTGAGCCTAATCATTTTTACTGCTTTGGAAATTAATGAAAGTTAATATGAATTTTTGTTTTTAAGTGTTCAGTACCATAATTTTCTTGAGTGAACTAAGTGTGTGAAAAATGACAAACAAGAAAATCCCAATAATCAATGCACTGGGATGCTACACTACAGACTAGATTACAGTAGTGGTTTGATGTAATGCAAAGCAGTCAAATTCCAGGACCAGTCTCACTGATTATGTTTCCTGTTTCAGATGTATCTCATTCATCCCCATCTGATGAAGATGATGAAAATGAGTTCTATGATGCTCGAGATGAAGCCTCTAATCAAGATACAGAAGCAAACTTCATCCTCAAGATTCCTTTGGGTCATAGGAGAACTTCCTCTGGGGTAAGCTTGGGATTGTAGGTTAGATTTCACTATTACAGGATATAATAACTAACTAGATGGCTTACCAAGCCTGAAGGTTCATCACCAAATTAACCAAAGCTCTCCACTGGACTCTGTCCTGGGCCAATAAAATCCAGTCTCCTTCAACTCCTATCTCCCATAGATACTGCTTCTTGATTCGTGATTCTTAATAATGTATCTGTAAAATGGAGGAGGAAGTGACCAGTTGCTGTTTGAAAATATTTTCCCATTTAAAAATCAGTTCATATAGCTTACCCAAGCTATAATAAAACCATGCTCCTGTTGTTATTTAATGTTCCTTTAATTTAGCTGCTAGAGAATACTGCTCTCTTATTTATGTTAGTACAGTTATTGATTATTTTAAATATGAAAAAGTTAAAAATAGTGCTATTTTTAAATTGTAATGTCTTGCCTGAAACCTTTTCTGTCACAAGCTTAACATGTCTCTCATCTTGAAATCATTGGAAATGCTGCATCAAAACAATTAATTTTTTATGTCCTTTGTATAAATATGAAACTTAATTCTATCTGTATAATTACTGCTCTTCTTATAACATGTGTTAATATGTAATATACTTTGGTTTTTAGTATATTATTTGAGTGTTTGTTTCTAGTCTTCAGATCCAAGGCTACATTTGCAGGATGGACATGATGAGGCTTCAGGTTCAAGCAGTGAAGTGGATGATGCAACAGAAACTAAGGTGCTGGTTATTAGTTCAAGTGATCCAGCAGCAGCATGTGATAACCTCATTGTAAGTGAGACTGAATTTTTATTGCCTGGATGAACACATTGGAGCATGTAATGAATTATATTATTTTAAGATTTTTTTATTCCCTTTCTGTATCATTTATGTTTCCTTCACCTCAGCACTCTGTCACTTATGATTGGAGCAAGTGTATGTTATTTCTTATTCTGCACATTATTCAGGTTTCTTCATATTTTATTTATTTCCTTGAATCTGTTATGGAAGGTCTTTTGTCAGATTGTTTCATTAACAATTTAGTAACACTGTAATATATGGTATGTACACAAAGTATAATAGTTAGGATTGTAATGAGCCGACATTCATTCCCTGGAATCTCACAAAGAACTGGTTTGTCAGTATCATCACCATGCTTCATGTGAATCAACGCATTTTGAATTTCTGCACATTCAAGATCATGTGTTTTCTTATAGCTCTACCCAAACTCTGTAGACAGACCTTATGCAATTGGCATATTCTGTAGTGCTGTTAGGAATGATTCTATCACCATTACTTTCATCACCAACTAATATACTTTGTATATTGAATATGATGTAAACAGTAAATATTATTAACATTCTTTGTTTATTACAGTCAAAATCAAATTTACTGTCACAACAAGGGAGTAATGGACGACAGCGGACTTCTGCCATTTCCCAACCCTCTTCTGTATCTCCAGCTTTGTCTACATCAGACTCAAAGAGACTGCGCCGTACACGTGTCCCTGACAAACCCAACTACCCACTCAATTTATGGAGCATCATGAAGAATTGTATTGGCAAGGAACTGTCCAAGATTCCTATGCCTGTATGTACATAGTAATTCATAATGCAACCAGCCATTAGATATGTTAACACAGGGCATGCTTTTTATTCTGTAATAACTGAGATTTGTAGGCACATATCTGTTGTTGCAGAGTTAGTAAATACTGCAGATAATAACAGTTTGTAGACATAAAATACTAATTTCAGAGATTTTAATTAGAACTGTTCCTTATGTCATGCTTTTACTTTTGCTTGATTAGTCATTTATGTTAATGAAGTTTAATTTCAGCTTTCTTTGAAATGGGGATTATATTGGACCATTTCAAACCAAAATGAAATTAATATAACTACTAGTTTTATTATAGCCTCCCCCAATACTGAATGTTTCCAAGACAAGTTGTAGTTTAAATGTGATATTATATTTATGTATGTCAAGCACATAAAATCTTGAAAGTGTGCCCTTGATTTGAATATTTACCAAATGTGCAAGGTGAAATCTGTTACAAGTATTATTTACAGTATGACTGTTAATGACTATTTTTACAGGTGAATTTCTCAGAGCCTCTGTCCATGTTGCAACGTCTCATAGAAGACTATGAATATGCAGACATTTTGGACATGGCATCTCTTTGCAGTGACTCATGTGAGCAGATGGCATATGTTGCTGCATTCACTGTGTCTAGTTACGCCACCACTAGCAACCGCACTGGCAAACCATTTAATCCATTATTAGGAGAAACATATGAGTGTGATAGAATGGATGATCTTGGCTGGCGGGCCATATCTGAACAGGTCTGTGTGTCTAGTGTTTATCCCAAAATATTTGAAAAATGAAGTCAATAGTGTGCTACTGTGGATAGATCAGAAACAGAAATAGCACATTCCCCCTTAAATATAAATTGCCTAAACACTTGTCAACACAGTGGATATAATAATGAAACTATTTCTTGAGAAAAATGTAGCTTTTGCTTTCCAGGTCTCCCACCATCCTCCAATGTTGGCACAGTACTGTGAAGGCCGAGATTGGCGCTGCTGGCAAGAATTTACCATGGCATCCAAGTTCCGTGGAAAGTATCTCCAAGTTATTCCACTGGGTATGGCACATCTTGAATTTAATTCTGGTGAGTTCACATGTTAATATGCCATAGTATTATATTTCTTTGTAATGCAAGATGGTGCTGCAAATTTTTCAATTATCTTGAACAGTGAGGACAAGGTTGAGTTTATTTTGCAAAAATTACTTTGTTGGCTATGAAGGATAGTGTGCTAAACTTTGCATAGGATAGTTCACATATACAGAATTACTGTCATTACTTCTATATTAAAATTCTGATGCATTAACGTTAATATAGACATACATATAACTCAGAATAGCTCTGTAAGTAAAATGACTGGGTTTGATTTCTGGAAGAAGCAGACATTTTTCTGTTCAATGTCTTAATTGTATCTTTCTTAGTTTCAAGGACTCTTTAACTTTTTTACTTGTATTTTACAGTAGTAGAAGTTTATAAGTTTTGAGGCTGAAGGTTGCAAATGCTGAAATGTAATGTAAGTGTGATTGAACCAAATAAATATGGTACTTGTAACTGACATGAATTACTTGTTACACAGGCAATCACTATACGTGGCGCAAGGTTACGACCACTGTCCATAACATTATTGTTGGTAAATTGTGGGTAGACCAACATGGAGACATGGATATTGTGAACCACAAAGATGGAGTGAAATGCCATCTCAAATACATCCCCTACAGCTATTTCACACGAGATGTGCAACGCAAGGTGAGGCATTGGTTTGAGGCTTAACTTTAAAACTATTGTTTGAAGTGTTTCAGCTTTCCAACCACTGTGTTACTAATACAGAATAACATTCATCAAAGCAGAGAACAGGTGTCTAGTGTGAACCAAATGTTTGCAATATCATTATAGTTGTTACAAAATACAACATAATTATTTAAATTATTTAGTTAAAATTATTCATTGTCAGGACTTTTTCCATCGTCTATACTTTAAAACCCACAATGTTTCAGAAGCTGGTTCTGTCTCCGTCTTCAAGTGAGAAGTACCTACTCTGTTGGGTCCCTTAGATAGAGATGATGGAAAAAGTCCTGGCAATGAATAATTTTAAGTGTAATCTACCTTTGTCAAACCCCTTTAGAATTAAATTAAATTATTTAGTATAATGGTGCAGAAGGGATGCACAAAAAATCCTAGAATTTGAGTAATTCAGAATGTTCTTAATTTCAGTTCTCACATGCTTATCACATTAATACCACAGTCATAATTACAAGTACTGTAATAGCACATTATGGACCTTGGCATATTAACTTGCCAGTGATTGGTGTGTTTATGAGTGCCTGTCTAAATAAGATAATGGTTAGATTGAAAGGTACCATCTGTATCATTTGTAACTCATGCTTTTGTTTCCAGGTGAAAGGTTGTGTAATGGACAGTGATGGCAATGTCAGGTGGGTTGTCTCTGGAATGTGGGATAACAAAATAGACATAGCACCAGTCATTAGCACAGAACGAGCCAGCTCTGACAACCCAGTGTTCAAGACAGGTGCATACACAACTGTCTGGAAACGGAAGAGCCCTCCGTAAGTAGGGTTTATACAAAAACCGACTTTTGAGAAAACCAGTTTTCGAATCCCAGTATTTCCAAAAAACTGGTTTTCAAATGTTTACAAAAAAAATTAAAACAGTAAAAAATATTTATACTTATTTTAAGATTGTTCAGTTTATTTAATATTTATGGAACTATAAAAATATAACAAAATAAAATATATTCCATAAAAAACTAAAATAACTAAAATCCGTACAAAATATAAATTATAAATTCTTATTTCATTTAGTATTTTTCTTCAGGAAATATGATTTCAAAAAACATAAAAAGTCCACTGAACGATTACTTAATCTTGTTCTTATTCTAGATACAAAATTGCCTGAAATAGAAAATACTCTCTCACTGGCTACTGATCTTGGTTTTATCATTTTCAGGGCATCAAATAAATCTAAATTCTTTGTTCTTTTATTGCTTGCCTCAAATACTGAAAATTCGTCCTTCAGTTTCTTCGGATTTGATATTATTTTTTCAGGTTCCTCAAGAAACCTATGAATTGATTCTTCCGTGGCTTCTTTTAGAGCATTGCCCTGATTAATAGTTTCTCCGTCTCCAATATATTCATCATCGGAATCTGTTTCCATACAAGAATTTGGATATATTATAGACAATATTTTTCCAGATAACTTAATAAAATCAAGTTTCGAAGCTAGTGGAAATACACTAGATATCTTTTTTGAAATGTTTTGTGGATTTTGCAAATATAGCAAAAGGGTTACCAATCCAACTTGTCTTCTTTCTTGAATTCATACTTATAAAGCATTTAGTAATTTGGAACTAATTTCAGTGTTTAAATTTTTTAGTTAATTTAACAGAAATTTTTACATATTAATTCTCGTATCTAAAACCGGTTTTCGAATTTTACAAATTTATCAAAAAAACCTGTTTTTAAACCCCGACAAACCCTATCCGTAAGTATTTCAGAACAGGCTAGCATAGTTACCATATGACATCTGCCTAGCAAGTGATTTATAAATTCTGAATTACATGTGACAATATGAAATTTGAACATCATGATCCAGTGGTTGGCACTCCTGCTTCGTATTTAGGTCCTGGGTTCAAATCTTGTTCTGGAGGCTGGCTATTCTGACAGGTTTTTCATGGTTTTCTTCACTTCTGTCAGGAAACGCTGGAATTGTACCTTAAATTAGGCCATGACTGTTTTTTCTCAGTATCCTTTCCAATTCATAATTCACTATCACCCTCTCGTTCAACATTTGAGCTATTTAGAAAGCATCATTAAATAACCTATGAATAAATATAAATAATATGGTATTTCATTTTGTGCCTAGAATTTTTAGATAAAATATTTTTTTAATCATATGTTTTGTCATACTGATGGGTATTTTATTCTAGTTAAAGTGTATGTGTACACTATTTGTTTATTAGGAGTTGTGTAGTCAAGGATATGTGATCCTTGAATTTATTTAGTCATTAAAACAAATTACTGCTGGAGATAGTGATTGACATCCTTAACATATTTTTCTTCTGTCATCATTCTGTGTGGATATTGCTCATGTTTTCTGACATTTTTCAAACTTTATTGGATTTGTATGTTGATTGCCTTGCAGTTAATTTAACACCTTAAACGTATAAATGAATTATTCTTTCACAACTCTGTTATTCATTTTGTATGTCAGACTTGTCTAAATTTTGTACTCTCCATTTCATAATTAAGTTTATATGAAATCCAGTTTCTGTTTGTTTTAATAGTCTTTTAATGCTTTGTTCATCTCCCCGTATCAGGGCATTAACTGAAAAGCCTGTTTTTTTATAATTTCTCACAGTTAATTTACATTTTCCTCTGACCAGTAACAGCTACCATTATTGAATTCAATAAAAGTGGGGAAAGGATGCTTTCTAGCTTCTCTGTGCTGCTGAGCCATATTTCTATTCTACAGGAGCATCTCTGGAATCTGCAGTCTTATACTTTGCAAAATTAAGACTTTCTTTCCCTTCAGTGTTCCCATTATTTTTCTTTTGTACATAGCAATCAAAGAAGAACTCCATAGTTTTAAAATGTAATATATCTCATTTAATTTAGGATATAAAGTTATGAAGTTTGATGTGAAATATTTGGCAACTGTGACATGGTAAACCAGCACATTGCTGACGTTCATTATACATAGGTATGTTTTTGATTTACAGGCCTGATTCAGATCGGTATTACAACTTCACAGAACTGGCGTGTCAGCTAAATGAACCAGAACCTGGAGTTGCACCAAGTGACACACGCAACCGTCCTGACCAACGATTGATGGAGAATGGATTGTGGGATGAAGCAAACATAGAGAAAGTGCGATTGGAAGAGAAACAACGGGCTGCTCGGAAGGTACGGGAGGCAGAAGCAGAGAAAGCTGCAGCTGAAGGTATAGAAATCCAAAAAAAATTATGTAGTTGGTCTTATTGTTGTTATGAATTTGTAATTGTTTATAGCCTAAATATCTGTTTTCATGTCTTGCAAGAGATTCTTCAAATGTTAATAGTTTTCGTTTCTGCCATTTTCTACTTACTAACAGCTGAGTGGTACAGTGTGACAACTTCATATACTATTGAAATTTACATGGGTTACATCCTAATATTTGTGAAAGAAAGTAAGAACTAGAAAGTAAACCCTTTGACAACCTGTAACTTAGCCTTCTTCACCATAAAAATATTTATTACTAATTTTCTATAAACAAAACAAGTTGTATGATCCATGCTGTCTTCACAATCTTCCCTTTTTGATTTTAGGCAGGTCTTCCATCTCTTCTTGGTCTTTGAGTACTAGGCTGAACAGTTCCATGCAGAATCACCCCATGGTCTCTTGCCTATAAGTTTTAATTATAATTTCCTTGTCAGTATCCTTATGCTGCCTATTTTGATTACAAGGACAAATCATTGCAATTCTTTTCTGTTAACAAATTTTTGATTCCAACTTTCTTGTTTTTCTCCAAAAATATTCCTCTTTTCATATGTTGTGAGTGTGTAGGCAGTGTTGTAATGATAATTCTGTTTAACAGGTCGTCCTTATCCACCATATGAGCCGGTGTGGTTTAAGAAGGAAAAGGAACCTTGGACAGGGAGTGTGATTCACATGTACCAGGGTAAATACTGGGAATGTAAAGAGCATCAAGATTGGTCAGTGTGCCCAGATATCTACTAGGCAACACCAGGAACCTCCATTTGCCTGCCGTTCCAGTAGAAGTTCTATCAGCATGTTGAGACAGACAGGTTTTAGTAATTAAACTTTTTTTTTGTGATTGGACTTGTACTAAGAGTATACTGTCATTGTCTGTCACATAGCAGGAATACACTGTAGGCAGGCAAGTATTTGATTGTCCTGCATAGGAACAGCCTTGATAAGTTTATTTACTGCAAAGTGTAATACACAATAGCGATGAAAGACTGAAGGTGGTTTGGGCAATATGCACACGTCTTTTTTTGCCTTCAATTTTGTCTTTCATGTGAGGGTTGTTAAGCATCCTGATTGTTTCATGTATTTTTTATAACTATGAAATGGTATGGTTTAGATTTGTAATTGTTGCTCGATGGTAGATGAATTGTTTGTAAATAGGATCATGTCAGTCTTATGAGAGCTACTGGCAATAATTGTGAATGTGACATGTAAATTAAAGATCTGAAAGTTCTGTCCTGTTTGTATCTTCCAAAATAATAGTTACATCCTACTTTTGTGTACTGTTACTAGTTGCAGAAGAATAGCAGTTTTGTTTTCTTTCTTTGTCTATGAACAACAGAACAAGGGCTAGTACAGTGGGAATAAATCTTACAGGTTAATGTTACATTGATGCCACCTACTAGAATGCTTGGATATTGAACTCACTGTTAATTGGTTCTGCAACAGTATTTCTAGAGTTACTAAGGTATACAAGCATTATGGTTAACTGTTGTATATGACTGAAAGACAAGTTTCAGAGTGCCCCTCGAAAGGTGAGAATACAAAAATAAATACAATTAAACCCACATATTTGTCTGTACTTGGGCTTCCTCATTTTTTACATTAAAATTCTAGTGTTATCTTGATAATACATTTAGTAACACTTATCTGAGTCAGGGGCATTTGTTAGTGATTCTATGGCCTATATTAAAGATTACTATATGGTGTGCAAGAAGTTTGATATTGTAAGGCTCTAGTTCAAGGTACAGGTTGCTTGTTATCATCATGTCACCAGTGTACCTCACTTTTGACCACTTTTGTTTAATGAAGTTTACTGGCATATTCTTGTCATTTGAAACTATTCTCAGTTAACCTCCATTGACAATAGTTGCCATATTTTTGTGCATATAAACTGCATAATAGTCATACAGTCAGGTTTAAATGTGCTAAATATTTGGGGTGGAAGGATATTTACCCTGTGAAAGTTAAGGCTGGAAAATGTTTAATGTGTGATATGCTGAGGTGAAATACGTTTATAATTCAAAATCCTTACATGAACTGTATTCAGAGGAAACCTCTGAATGATGAAGTGAATATGAAAATTAAGATATTTGACGTGATCAAGGATTGGCAGAGAGACTGACAAGGAGGAAGTCTGGTACTTTGTCAAAAATGTGAACTTTATCAGTTATATGATAGCATACTGAAAAATAAAAAATTGAATACTAATTTGTGAAGTGGCAGTCAGTAATTTTCATTTTGATCTAGAATGCGTATTAGTGGATCTTAAGATCCACAATACTATTCTGATATGTGACAGTGATTTGTTTATTTTGAATTAGAATACCTATCAGTAGACCCTCTAAACCATTCCTTTCAAGGTAAAAAATATCTACACTTAGTTTCTTAACCACTCTTGTCTCTTCAGCCCCTAAATTTCCTTGGAATATAGTGACTGTTTTCTGTCGCTGTTCAAACTGTGGTCATTATTTTTTGTGTTATTCTTGTGTCTGTATGTTTTCCTTTATTTTTAACCTTATTTGCATAAATTTGTGCTTTAAATGCTGTGTCCAAGAAGACTATGCTATAAATTCTATTTGGGCAGTTAGCAGGAAGGAAATGAGAATGTCATAAGATATCCTTTACAAAATCTTCTAAATTCTGAACAGTTGCCTTGTCAGTTTGTTGGTACAACTTTGGTATAGTTGTTTGTTTGCTACATCCTTGGTAAGGACTCATATTTGATTCCATAATAAGAAATAGTAATTACTTTAATTGAATTTAAATTTGTAGTAAGTGTGCATAAAATAACAAGTTTTCTGTTTATCAGTGTAATTACTTGAAAATGTGGTACAAATCTGTAATACTTCACTTGCTGATAGTGGTTTGTGCATCAAACTTCTTTAAATATTAGTTACATCTATGATGTGTGTGCATATATGTATATATTTTAAAATGACCTGTGTGGGAGAAAATGTGGTATTTTAAGTCCATATAATAGATGCACATATTGTGTAGGTCTTAGAGACATTGGGTAATAACAGGTAGCAGTGTCATATTGAAATTGAGAATTGTATTTTGTCATTGCTTTGGCCAAAATAAGTAGCAAACCTTTTGATTGTTGATATTACCATTTAATGAAGTGTTTTTCTAACTAAATCACCTATGGTTGAACCTGTTATACACTCTGTGAATACTAGGGTAATTTTTGTTAGTTGTAAACTGAATAATTCGAATTTGGTATGTTTTCCTGAATTTCTGTTAGAAACGAGACTTGCAAAGACAGGAGCTTGAAATTAAATGATCTGTAATGAGTGAATCGATTGTCTGAGTATTTAGCTTTTCTTCCCAATACATAAAATGACAATCATGAGAAGCAACCTCCATTTCTAGTAATTCTGAATACATTTTTTAGGGTTGCCAGTTCTTGAGATTTATTAGGGATACTATCAGTAAATTTGCGAATTTTGGAATTGTCTATTTCCCTCCTGGATGACATATTAACTGTATTTTAATGGTAGTTGTGGAAGGTTTTCTTTTGCCTGAATTGTAAGGTATATACACACTGACCCAGATTGTGACAGCAACAATAGGTTGGCCATTGTTATATCTGTTCTTTACATTTGTATTAATTACAAAGAATTTTTTTTTGTAAAACATGCAGTTTTTATGTTCTTGAAATATATGTGTAATATAAACAATCTATGGCAATTTAATGGAAATATGGTTTAATGTATTGTTGTATCCAGGTTGTCATTTTATAAGATTTGGTCATTGACAGCTCTTACAATGATAATACTTTTATTTGGCAAACCAAATTATGTAGTCTGTTTTACTTGATCCTGTTACAAACTCCATATGAAAACTCATACTTTTCACAGTAAAACCCTGATGACATAGGCTCTACAGCCAAGCACCTGTTGCTGTGTCATTTCTGGTCTTAGGATGAAAGTGTAAGGTATGTTGTGCAGCTCCAAATTGTAGTATTTTCAGAAACTGTACAGCATAACATAACTTCCAAGTCAAGATTGTTACCAAATACTAAAGAAAGGTTTGTACATTTTTTAAAAGAGCAGTTTTGCTTCTTAGAATTTGTATTAGTTTTGCTGATCATATTGGTTGATCATGGCTTTGAAATCATGCAAAGGCATATTTGTATTACAACTTTATTTTGTAAATAACCAGTAAATTAATCAGTCTTACACAGTATTGCATGCTATATACATACGTATTGACTGACATGCATATAAACAAACATGTACATACAAACATTTATATATGCATAAGTAGATGTGTGTACACATATGTACATACATTTTTTATTTCTTTGTAGGGCATTGTTCCATTACAAAAGTAATTATAAAATTTGTTAAAAACAAGATTTTTAAATTCTTAAGATTAAGACAGATGCACAGACGTGCGCACACACACACATACAAAACTGACATGCACCACAATCCTCATATTGCAGTTTTTATTAATTCATACAGATTTTGAGACATTTAAGTGAGGGATTGAGGGCTGTAACAGAATTTTTTGCTCATGTATAATAAAATTGTGGATTGCTGCTGTATATTTAAGCTTACACTGTGAATATTGTGTATCATAAGAGGTTACTGTCTCATATAAATGAATAGATAATGGATAGATTTAGATACATGGCTGCTTTGAAAATTCTATAAAAATATACAATAAAGCTTCTCTGTATGTATATATAGATATATATTTGTGTATGCAAGTATATATAAAAATCTTCATAGAGGTATTTCAGGCCTCAGAAATATATAAAATTTGAAAATATAATTTTATTTCATTCAGTTAAAGTTGTTTATGTTTGGAAATGACCTTGCAAATATGTATGGGATTGTTGGTGGCTGGTAGGAGACTGTGAAAATTAAATCTTTTGAAGTGTGTGTTAGCCCTGCAACTGGCAGGTATTGTAATTGTCGATTGTATGGGTCACTGGTATTGATATTGCTGACCTTTAGAGAAATTCTTATAAGAAGACAGAACATATGTTGAAACCACCTGTGAACTATATCAAGTGTAGGGTGTGAGCAAACTGTTTTCTCCTTTATTTGTCTGTAAGATATTAACTATTTAGTTGTGTAATATTTTTTGTTCAGAAACAGTATAGTTTAAGACAGTAATGAGTTAGACAAGCAAATAATTTTCTGTAGCATCTTATAACGATAGTAATATGAAATGGAGGGCGCTGTTAAGAATGGAAAAGGATCTATTAATTTTGCATTTGTGTTTCACAGCTTCATAAAGACAAAAACAAAATTAATTAATTTTTTCATAGTATAACTACTAAAAATTAAGCTTTCTGATCTTGTATATAATAATGAGATCTTTACAATGATTAAGAAACATGTGGAACAAAAAGTATAAAAATTGTGTTTACAAAAATATTTGTCTTACTAAGAGATTGGTCTAGCACTGTAAGAAATAAATCTAGCAGTCCCAGGGTTAATATTCAAGAACATATATAAATTATTTACTAAGAAATTGGTTGTGTTATTTATATAATGACTTTTAATTCTGAAATGTATGTGCTAAAAATAACTATAGAAATTAATGCTATGAGTGTTGGTCATATCTGCAAGGCTGTGAAATGAAATTGCTGGTCAGTTTCACCATGTCATACATCACCTTTCCTTCTTCCAGTGACTTAATTTTGTAACCATTACAAGGAAATGTTTATTTAAATTCCAAATATTTATATATCAGATGTGGTGTAGTGGTTAGCATTCATATTTAGGAATGCTCTGATTTTGATCTCACCCATGAGATCATCTGTCCTGATTTATATTTACATTTTCAGTTGGTCCATACACCTACAGACAAATACCAGGATAGTACCTTAAAAGAAGGAGTGACAGCTTGTTCCACATTTTTACCAACACACTATTGATATTCATCCTATAAGTTTTAATTTGATGTGTTATAACATTTTCCACAGTTACATTAAATATGACAGTACAGTAATCCATTATGAGTAAATGAGTTTAGCTGGTTGCACACCATGAAGTGATCACCATTGCTGTACATAAATTCATCAACATTTTATTCTTATTCTGTATCACTGTTTCATAGGACAGAATGGGAAAGCTCTTGTATTGACCATAGTTTCACATAAAAACCTGAACTTCAGTTACTTGTTTAATTATATGTTGTTGTCTTCTGATTTCCTGTAATTAATTCAGTAAGTTGATATTTGAATGGGATATTAAAATTTGAAGATGATGTATTAATTGTATGTCTATAATAACTGCTGTAAATTAATTAACCAAAATTTGGAACAGCAAATTGAGACTGATATAGGCCACATATTGTCTTTTCTCCAGTTTTTAAATTTAAGTCTATCTCACAACTTTTCATATGTCCAAAATTTCATAAATCATGGTACTACATTTTCTTTCCCATTTAGGCATTTTTCCTGGCAAAGGTGCCTTTGTCCAAGCATCATTTAAAATAGACTGTATTGAAACAATGAGATTGTTTATTTGTAATAACAATCTTAAGAATGTGTATTCTTACTGGCAAATTTTCTGTCACCATTGTAATGATGCATAGTGATTGCTTCATGCACTATAAAAACTTTGGTTATCACCACCTAGCAAACAGCTCAGAGGCAGATAAACAACAGAAAGATAATTTTATGTATGAGATTGAGGGAAGCAAAATTTCGGTCATAATTTTCAGAGTGGATAAAATAGCCTTCAGCAGTTTTGTATTTTGGCCTGTGGCCCAAACCCAGAGATGGAACAGGTCATTACATAGAGCTTGAAAATACTATACTGAACATATTGTTTTTACCTGACTGTTAGATGAAGCTTTTCTTTTATTTTGATTCAAGAATATGTGTTATCTTATATTTGTAAATTATAAGATACATAAACAACAAACAATTCAATGATTTCTAGGAAAACAGATGTCTAACAAATGTAACATTTTGAAGGGATGAAAATTATGTGGAGCTAAGTGGGCCATTATGAAGAGTTATACTACAGAATTATACCTAAGAATTTTATTTAGGAAAGTAAGTTAATAAAAGTGGTTACTGTTTGAAATATTGTACCATTAAAATGGAGTGTCCTGTGTTGAAGTCATCTTACAGTCGTATGATGTGGTATTTCTGTTAAGTGATTGGTTATTAACCACTTGACCTAACATTGCTTGTGGTTTATTACAAGTTAATATTATTTGTACAGTGCAAATAAATTCCGAGTTGGTTTTATGTTATGTTTATATAACTTGTCAACAGATTGTGTTTGCACATGATTTTTTTTTTGATGCCCCATTACTGTTCTGTATTTGTATAGCATTAGTTCTGCTATCAAGATGAAAAGTGATGTCAAAACAATTGCTATAAAACCTCTGACTGGAAGTAGAATATCTGTCCACTCCATTACAACATAAAGCATCTTGTTACATTGTTGAGGTTGTGGCACCCATTTGAGCTTTAGGCGTTGAATTAGGCCAATGCTCTTCATTTTAAGTATGCTGAAACATGGGAAGAAGTAGTGTAAAAGTATATCCACACAAAACGTTCAATATACTCTGCCAAGAATTGGTGTTAGCACTGTTGTACCTTTGTGTTCTATTATCAGAATGTTGGTATTTATGGATAAAGTGGTTTGGTCTTTTTTTATATAACTTTTAAAGTTTGGTAACTTTGTTAGTTTTGTGAAACAGTTTTTTTTTACTCTTTGCCATATCTAATGCAGTATAACATATAAAAATACTTAAACATAATGTACATAGTGCATTGATATTAAGTGGTCTTTTAATGCCAGAATACAGTGAATTTAAATGGTGTTGCAAAGGGTTAAAAAAGGTTCTGCTGTAAGTATCACAATAACATTTTTACCTGTGGTTAATGACCTCTTTGTATGGGGAGTTCTTCTGCAGTGCAAAACTAAGTCCTCCACGGAAATATTTGTGAGGCAGAGCCAGAATCTTACAGGCCTGTGCAGGGGTGAAACTGTGCTGCAGTGTGTTCTGACAAGAATCTTCTAGCCCCAAGAATGCAAAGTGACTTCCAGCAAGTGTTGCTGATAGACCTGATGTGTAGCTATTCATGAGGTGACCAGGAAAAGGCTCAAGTTTAAGGTGCCACAGTTTACCAAAAATGCTTCCTGGTTCCGCATTCTGAAGGGACAGGTAAAAAGTTTCAGAAGTATATTTACTAAAAGGTACATTGTTTTCTGCTCAAGTACCTCTAGACAATGCTGGGACAGTTTCTGTTAAAATAGGCCATGACGACTACTACTTTCTGCTTCTGTATTAGTTAATCATTATGATCATTACTCATGTATGCACTTGATAAAGCATTGTTGAATAAGCCAAAAAACAAGTCATGATTTTTGCTTGAGGTGAATTGTCTATCAGACTGTCTTGCTGTCTTGTTATTCAAAATAACCTTTCCTAACCATGTGTTACAACTTTTGCATGATCTAGCTGGCCATGCGTTGCAGTAGCATACTGTTAAAGCATTAACCTCCAAGTTGAAGTCCAGCCGGCCACTCCATATTATAGGATTTAACTGTTCTTTAAAATACAGATGAAGTACAGTGTAACAAGTACCAGCAAAAACATTAATAACATGAATTTTCATTTGGTGTTGGTCATACATTGAATGAGAGGAAAATGTTCATGAATAGTGAGTGAATGGGTCAGAATATGTAAAAAGGTGGTCATAGAGTTCTTTTTCTGGAGAGACTGAGTAAAACCACAGAGTGTGTCAGGATAGGTGGTAGCCTGGCTGATATTCAAACCAGGTACCTCTCGAATACATTTATCATGATTACCACCACACCAGTTTCCTCAGTCATGAATTGGAGACCTGACAACTTTTACAAAATCAACAAGTTCTGATAATAACTTATGCCTATTTTCTGCCAAATGCTTCTTTTTATATTGTGAGGCAGGAGGAACTAAAAGAATTAGTAGTGACATAATTTAGTTGTCTGTTTCTGTGCATAATTGTAATTAGTACTGATTCTGTGTTACATTTCTCAATACAACCGTAAAATGTCGGACTGTCACTATTGATTAATACTTGTACCATCATACAAAAAGATTCAGTGTGACTGCCATGTTGATGTTATTGATTATAGTAAATTAAGAAGTTGGGCTATCCTTAGGTGGCGTGATGTTCATAACAAGATTAAATTGGTTCAAAACTTGTCAGGGGAGAGGGGATAAACATGGAAATAATGTTCTTTGTGTTGTTTAGGAGTGTCCGACATACGTGCTTCCAACTTGCCTTGAATGTGTTGAATGGAAGACTAGAATTCATGACACCAAACTTCCAGCTGGAACTCTTCAGAATGTCACTGAGATCGCCAAGTGGTGGTTGTGGTTTATACAAGGTTGCAAGTGAAGTGAGCTTGGCACTGTAAGCAATATGCACAACCAAAAACAGGAGGGCACTTGAGTGCTGCACTAACCTCATGGAGAAACTTGAAGGAGAGTCTGTTCCTGTGAATAGTAGGTAAAATTGGTACTGTTCTCATTTTTAACCTTTTCTTTTAAATATACTTTAGTGGTATGAGTACAAGCTTGACTTACCTTGTTGCAGCATGATGGTCACAGTTGTGAAGAGGTTTGATAGGAAACCTGACCTTTGCGTGGATCCATGCAGATTATACGTGATGTAATGGAGTAGGTTGTTAATGGATGTGAACAAGAGGAGACCCACAATGAGAGCAAACCATGTCCAGACATTGAATGGATGAAAATACCAGTCCATGGAGGGTTCCTTTGTTCCTTCATGTACATACAGCTGTGTTCTGCAAGTACAACTAAGAATTTTTAATAAGGCCTCTATCGTTGATATAATCTTTTAATGACCTATAGATAAACATAAATTAAACTTAGTCAAATGTTGTTTATGATACACTGTTGTGTTAGTTTAATAGACTTACGCAGCAGTGTGGAGAGGCAAGGTAAAATCTATGACTTCTAATCGGTCTGCTGTAATAGATACTTCACAGATTGATAAATCAGCTTCCTGTTTTTGAATCGCACCTATCATTCCAGTCCACATTGAAGTGTTGTCAGTAGGTGTGTTCCCATAGGAATAACCAGGCAGGTATATGATAGTGTAACTGCAGGCAGAGAGTTCTTGGTATCAACACAAAAGAATTATACAAATTTGTTCCAGGCCTACAATCTGGAGCTACCCAATAAATAAAATTGATAAAAATTACCCCTGTAACACGATGAGTACCCGTTATATGTCTATACTGCTATTTAGAAAAATTCACTGTCACACATATCAAAAGTGTGGTCTAATGCTATTTGCACACAAATCATGAAAGTGCGCCAACAAATAGAGTCAATTTTGTAAAACAATAATAAAGTAAGATCAAAGGAAAGAATGCTATCTGTGTGCCTAAATTACCTGCCACAAAGGTGTGATTTTAAAGCTCCATGCATTCCTATCCTTGGCACTAGATTGTTATTAAGTATTCAGGTTTATGCTCTAGTTGCTATGGAAAAGTCCTCTGTACCCACTGGATAAGAGGATAGGTGGGCCCCAGTGCAAAGAGGAATATCCCTGTTTGTGTCAAACTTCAGTCATCCAGGCCATCAGTCAAGTAAAATAAATCTGTCATTAATCCATATTGATTAAATTAATTAACAGAATTCTCATGTTATTACGTTAACACCGTGAGGTTTCTCATATGAATTTATTCACAAACTTCATACACAACATGAACCAAAGATTTATTGGTCCCTCTTCTAATAAGGAATTAATACCTCAACATATTTGGTAGTAGAACAAAACAATCTACTCACGTAAAATTCAGTGCATTTGCAAGAGTTTTGAAGACTTCACCAAAGTATCCTCCTGTTACTTGGAAATGATCACCACTCTTTTGTATTTGAGTGTAAAATTCATTAATCTGGTTAAAGGACAAATTAAAGTTCAAATAATGTAATTACATTTAGTGTTGTAAACATGTGTGAAACTTTTGTATCTTAATAATGAGATGCACATTTTACATACCTATTCTGGATGTAGAAGAAATCTAATAAGGTAAAATTATACTTTTAAAATTGATAGATGAGGAAAGTCTCTTTATTTCTCACTCAATCAATTTCACAATTATAACACAGTTTCTGTTCTTTTATTGAAATTGTTTAAATTAAAAGTCTATGTTTTTACTGGTGAATCTATTGAGGAATCCAATTCAGGGACAATTGGTGGACTCTTATTATTCTTTATTATTATTATTATTGTTTGTGTGCTGTATCAACAGCCTGATGTGTGTATATATAATTAATCTTTAGGTTCTATAAAAAGTGGGGAATTTATTGACTAGTTTAGTGTACTAGCATCTTCTTAACAAGAACTCTGATGTATGTAGTTCATTTTTAGGAAAAACAAACAGTTGTACAGAGCATGTTTAAAAAAAGTTTCGAATTTGTAATTTCTTTGATGTGCCTTACCAGTACGGTTGTTGCTCGAAGTTGGTATCCCTGCAGATTTCCATGCCTGTGTCTGTCGTACTTGTGTGTTGAAGGTGGGACTAAGTTGCCAGGGTTCCATTCACTAATAATGTGATGCTGGAGACTGGTGTTCTGACCCAGTGTGCCCAGTGCATATGTCTCCAATAACTGCATTTGGAAGGATAGTTCATGAATATGACAGTCATGTTCAACTAGGTACATGCCTTTATTTTGTTTAATAATTTTGTTATCTCCTTCATTGGGACGTTTCAAAGTCATGTAAATATGCAAAAAGTACCAAGAAATTATGAGTTTTCAAATGCAGTTAAATCCTCATTTTAGATAGGCTGACAATCCATCTACACAAGTTTTTTATTATAGTCTCAGTGTTTATTAAAAATTTACTACACGTTTTGACTTTAATTGGTCATCTTCAAGATGTTCTCTTTAAGTGTTTTAAATTAATAGATATGACCAGCTAAGACTCTAATAAAATAGGTAAGCTGCTTAAGACAAAATTCATTATGTAGTGAAGTCAGCAACAGAAAATGTGTGTGCAAATTAGCAGTCATATCTATTAGTTTTAAACACTTAAAGAGAACCATCTGAAGGTGACCAATTAAGGTCAGAACATGTAGTGGATTCTTATTTTTAAGTGTTTTAAAAATGTTCAGTTCTCTCCATGTACCAGATTGAAGCAATTTGTTCAAACCTGGATATTTGCTTCCTTGCCATAGACTGCAATGAAGATATTGCTATCAAGTCGGATGTTGAGCTGAGCAAGGTTTTGAAACAAATGAGATGAAAGTGAATCAGAAGTTAAGAACAGCCAGAGAATCCTTCCATTGAATTGTCCTTCCTGAGAACACTGAAAATAAATTTGAATAACTCAGTAAATCCTGTTTGTTGAATGGAAAATATTAAGCCTGTGATGTCCTGATTCCTTGGCTTCTGAATCTACGAAAATCCCAGCAGAGATTACTATTTTACAGACAGATTTTTACTGTGAACTTAAGAACACTATTTTAATTAGACGTAAGCCTATTTCTGTCAATTTTGTAACATTTCAGACAGTTACTCAAAGAGACAAATCTTCAAGTTGCAACATTTGTATCTTTTCTCCTGTATGTAACTGCCAGCCTCATTCATGTTCATTATGCTAGTTCATGCAGGGTATAAGGTGAATTTTAAAAAATTAGAGCTGTCTGCTACATACCCTGCAGGCATTTGGGGGAGAAGAGGTATAACTAATTCAGCTTATGTGCAATTAAGCTAGCTGTATTGCACTAGAATACCACAGAACCAATAATTCTAAGTTAAAGTCTGGCCAGTAACCCCCTAGTACAGGGGTTTAAATCCCATTCCTGCATGATAAAACTCCTTATCTCACTAAAGAAGAGTAACTCATAGAATACTGAGCACCTGTTTTAGGAACTCATGATGTTGTGTAGATGCCCTGTATGGCAAAACAAGGAGTGGAGTTTTGCCGGCACTATCTGGGAGTGGCTGACAAGAAGTCCATGCCTGGGTGGAGGTGACCAGGATTTTCAGATACAGCTGTGATATGAACTTCACAAATTGGAACTCTTTCAGTGATATGTTACACCAATCTGAAGAACATAACATTTGGTAAAGATTTGAATCTCCATATGATCTTTTATTCCTGTACAGATCTACTTCAGTGCCAAAATAACTCTTACACTTTCTGATGCACACACTGAATATCTCCAAAATAATTTTTTATTGTCTCAAAAGTTTTGAAGTTAAAGTTATTCTCCTTATGTAATTTCCATCATGTGACATAAAAATATGATATTCTGACTTTGAAACTGGTTGGAACCTCTGATATGGGACATTAAAATACAGGTAAACAAATATGAGCAGTGTGTCAATGTTTTATTGATAAAGATGAGCAACAGTAGGTCATAAATTTAATTTAAAGGATGAGTGGTGTACTGAAAAACTGAAGAATGGAAATTACAATTTATTGTGTATATAAAAAAATCATCTGTGTTTGTGATATATATTTTGGTAACTTCATCTCCAATTCTTTATTTTCAAACAAAATTATATGGAAAATACTATTTTTACTGTCATTTCTGAAATTTCAGAGAGAAATTCAGTCTGAATATCCTCTCACTACAACCCTGAAGAGTGATAATGTAACAAACCTGTGATATCATAGAGAATTATGCTACTGCACAGCTGATGGTGACAGAAAGTTTGGAGAAACATAAGCTGCTTGTCATGTGACAGTGAACTGCTAATCTGTATAAGTGGAAGCTTTGCCAGCAGACACAAAACTAAACCCTTCATTATGCCTCTTGTACTGTGATGTTTCATTCCAGGTATTGCTTTTTCTCACAACTCAGATGACTGCATTTTTCTGTCTCCACAGGATTTTATTTTGGTGTTGGAGAAGCTTTATTTGCCTCTGATTTTATTCTGAAATTAATTTATGAGCTAATATATTTTATCCATTTTTTTAAATCTCAGCTAAAGAAGAAAACCTGGTGTTGATTCTGACATTGTCAAAAAACTGTCACCCAGATTAAAAACTTAAACTGTTATATCCAACTTCCTGGACTAGTGTGCTATTTATATCATCACACTTCTACCTCTCAATTTTGTCATTTGCAGGTAAATCCTCACTAATTCAGACTGTCTTTTTTCTTTCATGTATTTTATTTTTGGAGATTTTTTCTAAATGAGAATTTAATGATACAATTGCCCACTACTTGTCAGCTTGGGGGAGTACTGAAATGCACATATAGTATCTAATTTGTAGTGACAATACAATTTTCCAATTTTAATAGAACACTTTCAAATGAAATATTTTTTCTTTCCATCATGTCTATGTCCTTATACCATCTATGTTAACATATGTTGCTGGTATGTGAATACATTTTATTGTTTTTATTAACTTGAAAAATATTTGCATATAATTATGTCCTGTATTGCAGGTCTTTTACTAATTCAGATTATCCCCCTCCTCCTTTTAATACAAATTTGTGAGGTTTTACTGTGTGTGTGTGTGTAGATATATATATATATATATAAACCTTTAGATACTTACACAGCCGTATCCTGGTCTTTTAAATTGTAGACATAAAATACAGATATGTTTTAAATACTGCCTCTGAAAGGTCAAAGATTTGTCATTTTGTAAACAAAATTGTTAAATACACATTAAGAATTAAAGTATGTACAATGAATGCATTTACCCTTTTATTTATACTTCAGAGAAAATTGTCACATATTTGCTACAGAAGAGGATAAAATAAGAAAAGACTGAACATAGTTTCCTGTGTTTTTTTTCCCATTGGAACTTAAAACCACTGCCATATAATTTATCAACTGTTACAAAATATAAATTTCCAAACAAGGGTTTCATTTCACTAGCTTATAGCTGAAATGTAGGTGTACTTTTCACCATCAGCAACTGGCTTCTTACCTAAGCTGTTTTCAGTCCATGCTATTGCACACGTGCACTATGGAAAGCAGCTCATTAGAAACTTGTTTTGTGAAGTGACAAGGCATGTTATCTAAAGGAAAAAAATGTTTTCATGCATAATGCAAATCATGTTAGGAAAGTATTTTGTATAAGCAGTCCTAAAGATGACTGTAATGGGATTATTATCTGTATTGCATAATATTCAATGTATTTTCAGCAACTACAGAAATATGTGTATGAACCTACAGTTGAGCAAGAATGAGACAAACTGCAAAAGTGACACGGGCTTCTATTCATTCTTAACACATAAAGACAGCTAAATGTTTAAAGGAAGAACTGATGAGGCAAACATACAATACATAGAATATAACTGTGTATTGTGGTTTTCTGGGTGACACTTTGTGATCTAGTAGGTTGTTTCCTACGTTCTTAAAAATGTAGTATTTGAGGTTATCACAGCGGTAATTCCAAATATGGCTGTCTTGTTTCAGCGCTGTGTAGTCTGGTAAAAGTTTACCAACATTTCAGTAGTCCTCGCTGCCTCATCACCCTGATGACAGAGGCGGCAAGGACCTCTGAAACATTTGTAAACTTCTGCCAGACTACACAGCACTACAACCCAAGGCAGCCATCTTTGTAGTCTTGCCCAAATGATAATGAACATATCTATTCAGTTGTTACATTTTTACACAAGTTACTGTGCCATGTCCCTCCTGTAATATACAGATTAAATCCACAAACAGTTTAATATTTTGAAGTTTCAAAGAGAACATTTGCCAATCTTTCAGCAATACTCTATTTACAGTAACTGTTCTGAATGCCTCTTTCAGAATTCTGAATGTCTTGTAGTCAGTGGGAATATCAACAGATGTACACATTATTAGGGGTCTTGATATTTAATGAGGATTTTGGGACATGTGGTGGCTGATAAGGGTGTATGCTAGTATTGGCTTGTTTATGTTACAGAAATAGCTGGAAAAATTCTGCCACTTTATTTTCCTGTATGAACTTTATTTTTTTTAATGTTCTGTAATATAAGCCATTCAAAGTACCAGGCTAGAATTAAATCCCATAATTATCCTGAATTTAAAACCATGCACTTTGGAACCATATGAGTTTTCTTGCAGGAATTTTTATTACCATCATTGAAAATGTCAATCTGGTATGGTTGTTAGTTTTGCAATAATGGCAAATTGACAGTATTTGAATTCATCACCATTATCAGCACCAAGGATTATGCCTATTGGCCTGTTCTGATCCTGGTTCTGTATGAATTGACAAGTCTTTAAAAGGGATAAACTCATTCTCTTCGTTTGTGTTGCGATTTTTATTTGAGCAACTTTCCATAATTTACCTATATGTAATATATGAGAGGTTTTATTTCAGTTAAAAAATAATTTATGTGGCATTTTCCTGAAGGGACTAAGTAAAATTGTTGTGATAAGTCCTTCAGTGAGATTTATTCCATGTGCTTGCACATAAAACAATAAGTATTATACAGAAATCTTGTAAAGATGATGAATACTTTGAATATGGTGTCCCCTAGGGTTTGTACTTGGTCCTTAATGTTTCATCATACATGTTAATGACATGCAGAAATTTAATAAAGGCAGAGCAAACATGTATGCAGTTGATCCCTCAGTTCTAAATGCAGGATAAAAGAAAGTTTACATACAAACAACTTAAAACCTGATTGAAACTTTGTTTGTAAATACAGTAAATGTCTAGATTAAAAGTCATAAAGAATAAAAATAAAATGAGTGAAATGAGAAGCAGATATGTACTTGGGATTGTCATTGACAGAAATCTGCCTTTGGAAAGGCATGTGGACAAAATGTGCAAAAGTTAGATCCAATCTGTATATAATTAAGAGGCTGTCTGATGTAACTAAATTGGATGTTATGAATACGATATAAACTCAAACTTGGCATACAATAATACTTGTTTTTTGTTTCCAGTACATGCTGTGAATGTGCTAGGGGAGAGCTGAGAAGGTAGGTCTCATACTGGTTCTTGAACTTGCCTCTGCAGGGAGATGAGTGGTCAGCAACATGCACGAGCCATGCTTTGGCCCTGGGAAAAGGACCTTTACCCATTGGAATGGAGACTGGATAGGCCCCAGAGCCAGTCTGGATGCAGATGCTAGAAGAAGAATAATTAAATTAACTATTGAAAAATGTGATTTTTATAACAATCTTCCTCTACATATTAAAGGGATGAAAAGTAACTGTCTCATAAAAGAAAAGCTGAAGGTGCTTGTAATTGCTACTGTTTAACTGCAGAAAGATTTTACTGATTTTCTTTCAATATGCACATCATACTAAACATTTTACTTGTTTTCTTTCAGTAAACTCAATTTATTGTATTAATTTTAACATATTTTAATATTTATATCATATCCAACATCAATATTATATTGATCCACTGGACGAATGAATGAGTTACAGCCAAGCAACAAATCTAAAGCTCGAAGGGAATTTTTTATCGCTGGTATAATTGTTGGTATTCCTGCAAGGGTGAAGCTTGAGACTATTTTCCATTGAATAGAAAGCGTCACATAGATGTCAATCGCTGTTATAAGAGTGGGTGCATGTTTAGTGAGTTCATCTGTGATTCATTGCGTTGTATTGACTGATAGAGAAGTGTGGTTGGTGTTTTGTTTAAAAATAATGACAGAAGTGGATATTTATAGAAATACTCCAATTAGACTGTTGGGTAGTTATTATTGATATTAACTATATTTGAAACTTGCTTGTTTGTATACCCAATTCCTTTTTATTATAACCAGTTGAATCGATATTTAGTGTGTCATTTCACCAAAATGTATTCATACTGGTTTCCAAAATAAGCAAATCGAAACTTTGCATAGGTTAGTTGATTATTGTTAAATAAGTATTATGTGGGGACGGGGAGAAGGCAGATATGATACAGAAGTTCTTTTACAAATTGAATTTAGCCCACCCAGCCTCCTATCCAATGGGTACCGGGATCCTTTCCCGGGGGTAAAGCCGGCCGGGGCGTGATGCTGACCACTCACCCCATCTAGTGCCGAGGTCAAGAATGAGTGGGAGCTATACCTCTATTTCCCCCAAGCGCCTAAATGGCATATAGTGGGACAGCTTTGCTTTTTTCTTTGCTTTTGCATATTCCCTAAACATTTTGCATTGTATGTCTGTAATGTTCCAGTGATGATGTCTTCAAGCAGAAAATAAAGAGGGTGAAGGACTTTGTACTCATTTGAGTTGTCTTTCTGCTTATTACCTGAAGACAGAGACAGCCAGTATCTGTAACATGCAGATAAACTCCTCTCCAGACAGTGGACATAGTCCAGAGAACCTCCTTACATCAGTTCAAACTGAAATTAAAAATTGAATAAAAATTATTTTAATTTAGTCGAAACTTACATGAATTTGTGTGTTCTGTCTATAAATGGCAAAAAATGTTATCTTTTCTTTTTGATTTAGGGTATGCCAATGAAGTCGGGGAAGCTTTTAGACCCTTGATTCATGTCAAGTGGGTACGGCTTAGTTATGGAATTGCCAGTGCTTATGTGTTGGCTGACACATTGGACAAAACTTTTAAAATGAGTAAGGTTTGTGATTTCACTGGCTATTAAATTGTGTATTTATGGAAATCTTTTTCACTGTAACTTGAAAAGATGTTTATATTTCTCTTGGTTCTGTTTACTTTACAGCATCCATTTGTAAGTGACAGCACAAGATATCATCAGGTATTTATTGCAGGAGTAGACACCCTGATCTGGCAAAGTTTTGCTTCTGTGATTATCCCCGGCATCACCATTAACAGAATATGTGCTTTGTCACTGTACACATTGAAGTACACAATTAAGCTTCCATCTAAAACTCGTAAATGGCTAACCACAGGCATTGGTCTTGCATGCATTCCATTTATAGTAAAACCAATTGATACATTTGTTGATTTTGTAATGGATGAAACATTCAGAAAAGCACTAAGAACTGGTAGGTGACAACCATAATGAGGCTAGTAGTATGTTACTAAACAATATAAAATATCATTTGAAATGGGAGCCATTTTAATATATGGAATAATGCTGGAATTATTTTTTCCATTAATTAGAAGAATATGTGATCTCTTTGGTATATAGAAGCAATGTTGATTGTTAAAGAATGTGAGCTAAAGAGTAAGCACTGTGTAAAATGCCACTGTTTGAAAGACTTGTTTGTGAATCTCTAAAAGGAATAAACAATACATGTATTTTGTGGACCAAATCTTTTTGATCATAACTTTCCTGTTTTCCTTTTCAGATAACATTAGTACCATTAGAAAGAGGTGCTAGTAGAATACAAGCAAAAGGCAAGAGTGTTAAATGCTAGTATGCTGACTGTTGTAGATATTTCTATGCAGTGAAAACTGGCTTACTAAAGGAACCTAGTTTTATTATCATGTAGTATATAGTACAAATCAATTTATGGGTAGAAAGGAAAGGAACATAGTGACATTAATCTGATGTAAACTGGATTTTTAATTTTTCAAAGTTGAGTATGAGTGATATATTCTGTGACATTGAAGCATATGAAAGTAGTTTTAAAATAGTAATATTTTATGATACAAAGATGCATATGAAATTTGATTGTAACTAATCAGGAGTGTCAGAAATGTTCTAAGTCACAGAGTCCAGCATAGGGTGGGTGAAGATGGCTGTCTTCTGAGTTGTTGCGCAACCCAAAAGGCAGCCATCTTCAAAAATGAAGATAACCTGAAATTTTGTTAGAATCCAACAAAGGATAATAAATAATGGCAATTTGGTTCATTTATAATCCTTTAATCTTGTTTTATTTTTATGTAGATTGCCAATATTAATTGCCGACTTTATACTTTTATATAAGCATATGTTGTTTGAAGTACTGACTGCAGACGGGATACTTCTGATTTTATAAACTCCCGCTGTAGTACAAACTTAGAGACATTTAAAAGCAGTGGCATTTATTCACTACCTCTCTATGGGAGAAGCAGACGTCTGGCTCTGTAAGTTACATGAGAAGTGTAAATAGAAAGCAGTCGTATTCGTTTCCTGTGATTGGTTCATAATGCCACAGTAGGTTCTGGGGCGGTGATGGTGGGGGTGTTGATTGTAGTGTCGTCGTGTCCGACGAGGGATAGGTATGCTAATAGTATGATATTACTTCTCGGTTTTCTGGTGCTGAAGTAATTAACAACTTCCAGTTTATATATTTTGAACTTTTTTAGGAATAAATGGCTGTCGATCATCGCGAAAGTTGATGATCTTTCATTTGCATTAGTGATCCAATATGCATTCTAAACTTATAATAACTACTCTCTAGAACTATGGCTTAAAATAATTTGCTGAATGTTATTGCAGGTAAAAATGAAGAGCTCGTTTACTTTTTGTGTTAATGAGTAATTGTATGTGTTACTTGTTTGTACTGTCGGTTCATACGTGCTAATGGCGTTAGACGTAAGTTTATGCAGTTTGGGCGAAGTAATTGACGTTAGGTTGGTGACGTAACTCTTGGCAAGATGCCCTGAAGTGTTGTTTATTGCAGATTTGTCTGACCCATATTAACCTTTTTCTGAGAAGTAAATTGAATGAAGTATTCCGAACACGTTTTCAGAATCAGCTATCCAAGTTTTTATTTTGTCACATGCTGTCTACTTCACTGCTATTGCTGATGTACTGGTATGATGTAGTTCACTTGATTGCTATGGAGAGGATGGTAAAAGTGTTCACATCTAATTTAATATCAAGATGGTTAGCTCTTAGTATGAACTGCCCTTATGTTCAGGATGTGATCTTATGATGTTAAGATGGCATCATATCAAGAACAAGCAGAAGAAGATACTTGTTCAGAGGCAAGTAGTGCTGTGCATAATGGATCTGTGATTTCAACCGTACCAGATCGTCATGGATTTCTTGGTGGTTCGCAGTACACTGCTGATCCGTAAGTAAATTTATTTTATCTTCTCCTTCTTCCTCTTGGAAAGTAATATTTGTCCATTAGTATTGTCAAACAAAAGAAGATGAATGAAGATTTCCGTCTTCTGGGTTGTTGCGCTGTGTAGTCTGGTCGATGTTAACCAAGATGAATGTTCTTGTTACCGCTTTTAAGTTAACCATTTTGTTAAATTATGATTAAATTTTTTCTACTTAACCTACACCAAAATTTACCAAGAAAATTAGATTTTGAGCTACACCTTTCATTGTTGGTAATAGCTTATAGTAGTCATTTTTATTTCACTGTTAGCAATTTTTCTGATTTCTTTGAACACTGTGTAGTTAACCTACACTGAAAATTGTGACAGATTTTATGTTTTACAATACAGGGCTAGTCTAAATGATGTTCCTGATTTGAAACACATGTTACTCACATTTAATGTAATTCAGATGCACAAGATTGATACCGATGGAAAGAGAAACTCTCCAAGTTTATGTTGGTATACTTTGTGGCCGCGTAGTAACACTGTTCGCCGCCAGTCTGTTATTAGTGTGCAACGGCATTTCCGAACCAAGTTTGCGGCAGATCCACCCAGTGGGCATACAATTTGTAAGTAGTATTCCGAATTTAAGAAAAGGGGCTGCATCTGTAAGAGAAAGTCAACCAGCCGCCTGTCAGTAAGTGACGAAACAGTGGAGCGGGTGCAACTCGACTACAGGCTGGATGTGTGCCGAGTTACCAAGGGGGCTCACATTGAACACCTGTGATGTACTGAAACAAAACTTGGAGAGTTTCTCTTTCCATAGGTACCAATTTTGTGCATCTGAATTTTATTAAATGTGAGTAGCATGTCTTTCAAATTGGGAACTTCATTTAGACTAGCCCTGTACTTGGTCTGTACAAAGGTTTTGCTGAATGAGCAAAGCCTAGTTCAGTGATCCCTTGTTAGAATGGCATGATGTCCTCAGGTTATTGATGGAGGTGACAGTCCCCAGATGTTGATGGCAATGTGAATATATTTAGAGCAAGCAATTATAGACAGTCACCAAAAAAAATAAAAAAGTGGTTCCTCAGGTTGAAGGATCAGGTTTGTACCTAATAATCTATCACTTATAAAGACTAGTTTTACTATTTAATTTCAACTGGTGCTTTATTTCTCCTTGAATCCCAAAAGCAATTGGATTTGGCTTGGGATAAGTGAGCTTTTGTGAATATATTTATTAACCTCTGGATTCTGTAGAAGCAGAAAATTTGTTATAATTGTTGGTTTTTTTGGGTTGTAATGGCATGTGAATTTGTAGGTAGATACTGAAGATAGAGGCTGTAAGTTCCCTGAAACATTGGTATCTGCCTATAATTCCTCTCTATGTTACAGCCCATAAGACCAGCATCAATATTTCACTGCTGTGAGAACTTCAAATCTCATATTGAAAATTTTGATCAATTGAAAAATTTTAAGCTGCTCTAGGTAGACACAGTATCATTGAGAAATTAGGGGAGTTTAGAATGCTTTCACTTTGTTCAATGATAGTGAGTTAAACTCTGTATGTATGTATATATGTATGAGTTGAATTCTTTAACTGTGGTTGTAACGTTGATTGTGTTGGTGCCCTGTTTGGCGAAATGGCTATTTATTAATCATGCAAACCATGTCTCCATTGTGTAGCTGCACCATGGACTTGGTTTGGCACTTGCATTGAATAACAAAGAGCATTGATCCCAACTAGGAAGTAACATTTACAGGTAATAATTGTCCATTTAAAGATTGAACCTTCCTGTCTTTGTTCATTAAATGGTGAAGATTGGCAAACCTCTCCATTGGAAAGTACAAAATAGCTTCTATTTATTATCATTGTCTCCCAGTGAATGTTTGTAATTTATAGCTGATGCATCTGATTTAAAAATTAAGTAAATTACATTATGTATGTGATGTTTTGCATTCCATGTGGGGCAAGAGAATGTTTTTTTTTTCGAAGTGGTAGAAGTGAACAGCAGTATGTATTTGAATGACACTCATATAACTTGTGGAGAGCATTCATAAATATTTGTACAGATAGACTTCCTTAGTTTGGTTGATTCATCAGACAGAAAGTTTGGAATGTTATAGGCACGTTAATAATTCATTATTATTTTTAATGGACTAGATGTCAGGTGATGCTACAGTTGACAACACAGAAGGCTCCATTTTCCATTAGTCTTTCAACTAGCAGTGTTATAAATAACATTGTGTACTGTTGAATATGATTGTAAAGCTACCTGTTTTAACCATTTGTTAAAAGAAATTTTTTGCGCAACCCAGTATGTTCATTGATCTATCATGAAAGACAATGTGTGACAGAACATATGGCAGTGAAATAGTTTTTTTTTTAATTGGCCAGAAAATATCCTGTTGGAAATTATTCAACTCAGGTACATGGTAACAGTGTAAATTATTGCAGTAGGAGTATTTTGTTTGGACACTGGCCATTTTCTGGTTAAAAGGGATATAAATTATAAGAGTTTTGAGGCAGACTTTAGCTCCATCTCCAGGTAGAAGGAAATGGTACCTACATTATGGGGCCTTTTAGATATATGTAGACATAGGATCAGTGATAAGGGCTAATTTATTAGGCAGGCTTCACTGAAAAGGTACTCTTTCCTATCTGAATATGGAAGCCAAGCATACCTCCAAAGGATTCTGTATGTTTGTCTAGACACTATATCCAGAAAAAGGTCAGTATAAAATAACTTGACAGGCTACTTGTTGAGATCTCTGTTTAATACAATTACACAGGGCATACAAGTGTTGTAAGATGCAAGAAAGGTGATAATGTTTGTTCTACAGGAAGCAGTTGGTGCCTCCTAGTGTAGTGTTAAGACGTGAGCAGAAGTGGCTGCGCATGCTCTCCAACTGGGAATACTTCATGACCAAAAACTACAAAAAAGTGAGTAGAACATTCTTGTTATGTTGTGATTTTATGCCGGATACCAGCTACTACAGTTGTAAAAAAAACTGTGATATTTATTCCAGATTTGGCTGCAACTTTTCAGACATTGTGATATTTGGGTACATATTCTGCCTTATTTAAAATTATGGCTTATTTGTGTTTATTTGCGATAGAAACTTGAATTTATTCATCCTGTATTTTCTTGCACAGGTTCGGGAGCGTTGTAGGAAAGGCATCCCTCCATCAGTGCGTCCTCGTGCATGGCTATATTTATGTGGTGGGAAGCTACTCTTGGAGCAGAGAAGAACATTATATTCATGCCTAATAACACAGGATGGTGACCCACGATGGGTCGATGATATTCGGAAGGATCTAAATCGTCAGTTTCCATTTCACGAGATGTTTGTTGATCAAGAGGGTCATGGGTAAGAATTTTTGTTTGATCTAGGTTGTGGTGATATCGGAAAATTTGGATGAGGGAGCTGAACAGGTAAATGTAATGACACAAAGTGCTGGGGAAGGAATATTATTTTGGGTTAAGAATATAATCAAACTGTCTGTTTAATTATACATGACAATGTTGTAAATTTAATTATCTTCAGGGATTTCAATGAACTCTGATCTTTTAAATCTGAGTGATTTTAAAATTTGCTGTAAATATAGTTTCATGCTTCTTTGTTTGTCTTTTAATTCACAAAAACAATCAGAAATATTTTTTTAAATTGTTTTCTGTAACTTTTATGTAACATCTGTGTAATTTTGTAAATATCAGAGATTTTTGTATCATATTGCATAATCTTCTCATCCTATAAATGAGTATTGCATGTGACTGATAATTCTGCGTTTCCATGTGTCACATTTATAAATCTATACAGTTTAGTGACACTTTTGCTTAATTTGTTATTTGATCTTCCATCCACTTGTATCCACTGATTTCTGCAAAGTATAGCTGAGTAGTGACAGCTCTGGTTCATTTTGAGTTCCTTGTTAGTTGACTATTTACAGTTACGTTTTCAAATATACTGTTTGCTTTCAGTGTTGTAATGTTCATGTTTTATTTTGCTTCAATGTATGTATTACAGTAATAATAAACTAAAGGTATATATGGAGTTTGCATCTGCCACAGCTCACTTTTTTTTCAGGCAACGTGAATTGTTCCAAGTTCTAAAAGCCTATTCTATTCTGAATGCAACTATTGGCTATTGCCAAGCTCAGGCCCCATTGGCTGCATTTCTGCTTATGCATATGCCTGCAGAACAGGCTTTCTGGTGCCTCGTGTCCATCTGTGACAAGTACCTTGCTGGCTACTATAGCCAGGGAATGGTAAGTCTCTTCATGGTTCCAGTACTGCTTAGTAATACATAGCTCAATAGTTTCCCCCCCTCCCTCCATTTCTTTCACAAGGGGATCTGGTTGATTGAAATCTTATAATTCAACTGTGGTTCTGCAGTATGACTTCCTGGCCAAAATATTAGGTGTTCACAATTCACTGTTTATTTTTAATGCACAGTCTCCCTCTACTTTCTTTACTGTTCATAAGTCTCATGAAACTATGCATACATACAGAGTAATTTACCAGTCCTCATGAAGCTTGGTATTTACATTATGCCATTGGAGGCTATCCCATGTTAATACTTTTAAAGTTCTATAACATCAGTAATGCAAATGTAGTGGCTTTCAGACTTCTAAAGTAAGACCAATAAATGTACCATGTCAACTGGACCAGCAGAGTAATATACAATTCTTATTCCTTCCTACATAATTACTGTGATAATGATAATGCTTGTTCTATTTTTGAACAGGAAACCCTACAGGTGGATGGTGATATCTTATTTGGCCTTCTGAAGAAGGTTTCTCCTAATGTATACAAGCATTTAGTAAGTACCTGGTTACTTGTTAGGTTTTTGGACTTTGTTTATTGTCCTGTATTTTACAAGTATCACCACTATGTTATGTAGGCTCCATCTGTTCCCATATTGAAGTGAAGTGTACCTACCTAAGACAGGTCTGCTAGAGAGGGTCACCAAATTGAGTTTGTAACATTAGCTGTTACTAGCTGTCTGTTAACAAGGTCTTAAGATTACAGTTCTATGAGAGGAACTTTTTATTTTTGAGGAAGGCACTGGATTGCCTCCCTAAAGGATTTAGTTTAGAAATTATATGTCCTGTGCAAAATTGTTTGCATGTCTCCTCATATTTTATCTCTTATAAGATCAAACCGTTATGAATGTTGAGAGTACAAATACTCCATCATAGTTTAGAATGCAATGTTTAGCTGTACATCCCCTCTACCAGTTGTCATCAGTAGCCTATTGGATATTATTAGACATGACCTAATGCTTTATGTGTGCTATAACTGATACTGTTGTCAGTTGAGAAAACTGTGGTAACATGTGATGTGATTAATGTCTTTGATATTTCCAGAAAAAGCAGAAGGTGGAGCCAATTCTGTATATGACAGAATGGTTTCTTTGTGTGTTCACACGTGCATTGCCATGGGATACCATTCTTCGGGTTTGGGATATGTTCCTTTGTGAAGGTTAGTAGCATTCACTAAAATTATTATTTAAAATGTTGTGTTGTTTATTCCTGATGGTAATTATGCCAGTCTCTGAAACATCCTTACATCTTGAAATCAGGCCATTGTTAAACACCTTTTGAACTACAAAACACTCAGTATTTATAATTACACCTCTAGAAGTATGGATGTTGCAGAATGATGTTAGTTGAAAAATAACTGTGATGCTGATTTTCATGTAGCTCTCTGATAAATTTCTATGCCTTCACATAGGAGTGAAGATTATTTTCAAGGTAGCACTAGTAATCCTCAAATTCAGCCTGGGACGTCAAGGTGTGCTGAAGAAGTGCCCCACTATGTATGAAACATTGGAGGTGCTCAGAAACCCTCCACATGCTATAATGGATGAAGAGTTTGTTATACATCAGGTAAAGGCATATTAGTATAGTCAAAATTCTGTGTTTTAAATTGTGTTTGGATGATGGTGGCTGACATTTTTATCAGCTGTGGTAATATCAGGTTATTGAAATACTTTTACTGAAAACATTTTTCAGGCTTGGATGAAACATCCATTTGAATCTCATAATAGTGTACAGTTTTCTTGCGTTCAAGAAGCTACCACAGGCTGGCATCTTACTCTATGAACAGACAATAGTAAGGCCAGAAAGAAGGAATCAGTCACTCTTTATAAACCGATATGAAAGGTGATTTTTTTTTATTCTTTCTTTAGATGAATCGGCTCAACCTTACAGAAGAAGACTTTGAATATGAGCATCAGAGGCAGACTGCAAAACGACGGGCAGCACAGGAGAATGGCAGGCGTTCTGGTGGCAGACGGTAGCAGCAGAATGCAGTTCTTCAGTTGAAGGCAAGTTGTCAGAAAATTGGTGACACGGTTCTTTTGCAACATAGATCTTGTTGCCTCATCATTTGGTGATAACATCTTATTTCTGATTACCATCCATAAAGAAATGTTCACAAATATTATGCACATTGTAGGATAAGTTGAGATGATAACTTCTGAAAGCTGTATGTTTTATAATCTTTCGATATAATTGCGTAGAATAAATGGTGGTGTTTCCATTTGTGTTTGAAGAAAATCAACCACAGATAATATATTTAATAATTTTTTACTACTTTTGGCTATCAATTGACTACTTTGTTTCTAAATTTTTGTTTTGCATTCCTGTACCAAACTAGTTACAATGAGAATCTAGGAAAATTAGTCAGTATTAAAGAATCTTCAGAAAATTTGTTACTTTATATGATGCATATCCCATAAATTGAAGACTTCTGTGTCTGAAATTGCATTATCTGTTTTGGAAGTTTGACCTTATAATAAAGAAAGATGGTGTGAGAAAGAAACTGGCAGAAGTACCAGAAGACTTGTTCTAAGTATTCATACTTTGTTTATATACTTAATTAACCCCCCCTTTTTTTTGTTTGGTGTGTGTAACAAACATAAATGTTTTCATAATTTATACACATCTTCATTTTGCAAGGATAAGTACAATTTTTCACAAGTTGTGCAGAACCACATGTGATGTTACATTGTCAGATATGCTTATTGACCTATATGAGGTGCTACCCAAAAGTTCAGGGAATTTGCCCATAAAGAAATTGCTTATCATAACTCCTAGTTTCCACCGTCTCCTTCGAAGTAGCCCCCTTGGGCATGGATACAGCGATCCCAGCATTTTTTCCATGATTCCATGCATCCCTGGAAGTCTTCAAGTTTGAGTGTTTTAAGCACCTTCTGTGATTCTGCCTGAATCTCCTCAATTGTGTCAAAACGACGGCCTTTCAATCGAAATTTCATTTTGGGGAACAGGAAAAAGCTGCAGGGGGCGAAGTCAGGCGAATAGGGTGGGTGGGGAATCACTGTCGTGTTTTTGTAAGCCAAAAACTGCCGAACAACGAGCGATGTGTGGGCGGGCACATTGTTGTGGTGGAGAACCCAGCTGTTGTTCTCCCACTTTTCCTGACATTTGCGCCTAATGCTTCAAAACTTCACAATAAAACTTCCCGTTGACAGTTTGACCAGGGGGGACAAATTCCTTGTGGACAATGGTCGATGGCCGTCCATCCTTAAAACGTTTGTACCACAACATTGTTGTGGTGGAGAACCCAGCTGTTGTTCTCCCACTTTTCCTGACATTTGCGCCTAATGCTTCAAAACTTCACAATAAAACTTCCCGTTGACAGTTTGACCAGGGGGGACAAATTCCTTGTGGACAATGGTCGATGGCCGTCCATCCTTAAAACGTTTGTACCACAAAAAAGTTTTACTTTGACTCATAGCATTTTCACCAAATGCTTCCACAAGCATGCCATGGGTTTCTACAGCAGTTTTTTAAGCTTAAAGCAAAATTTGATGCAGTTTCTTTGCTCCTTAAAATCTGCCATTTATGCAGGTTTAAAAAATTGCCGAACCACTACAACACAACGTTATAAAAACGCACGAGACTCAAGAACGCAGCCTCTAGCCTTCAAGGCTGTTGGTACACTAATTCACAAAGGGTACTGCTCGCCCCATCTAGCAGCAGCAGGCCATTCCACAACCGGTTCGCTCGTCGAATTCAAATTACCCGAACTTTTGGGTAGCACCTCGTATGTACAGAAATGTACATTGCCTTCATTAAGTTTACTTCTTGTTAGCATACTTTTCTGGTGAATTTGAATACATGTTAGAAAGTTAACTCAAGATTAATTGTACAACAGACAGTTGTAAAATCAAGCAAAGAAGAAGGTTTTTGAATATTGGTCCCTACAGTAAGAATTACTCCCCCTAGCCCTTTTTTTTGGTTTTGATTTTGCATAATTTCAGATTAGCTCAGTTATGAGTGACATTTTCTTGTCAGCTTTCATCATACTAATAGATTCTTATAGATAAAGGAAAATGTCTGCTAATATACACCAGTTTAATGTCACACCTTCACCAGAAACCTTTTAGACTGATCTTCAGCTTTCTAGTTTATTACTTACTACAAAGTTACAAGAACAGACAATGGTCTTGTAGATGTAGATTGTGCTTTTATGGGTTTTAACATTGTGTAGTCTTGTTGGTAGTACCAGCATTGCAGAGGAATTTATTGCCTCCCTACTTCCAGGGTTGAAGGTGATTACCATCATTTTGGAGGAACATACCACCTCTTCCTTGACCTTGAAGGTTAAATTGATACATTCCTGCAGCTGTATGGCCTCACAATCCACTAGACCACAGATGGCATCTTAACCTCCATGTGAATGTTAAATCATATTCCTATACATGATTTTATATGGCATGTGACTAACATTTGCATATACAGATAAAATACATTCAGTAATTATGAACATTGCATGTAGAACTGTGTAATGATCTAATAACTAGGAAACAGATGATACTGAGGCAGGAACACATGGACAAAATGTTCTGTGATCTGTTACATGGCTGTCATCATAACTGGAAAGCATAAATATTTTTAGGTTCTTAATTTATGCATATTTTTGTAAGAGGTTTAGCATTACATATCAAAGACATAGCTTTATTACACTATTAAATAATCTGTGTATCTTATAGACTGATGTGCAGGTATATAATATACGCACTTGCAGGATAAGTCAATGCATGTTAAATACAGCCAGTAAATATTATCAAAGTAAAGTTGTCTCTGTGGTTTCCTGAGTTAGTGACGTACTAACTCATGACAGACATCTTGATAAAAGAGAAACTACAAATTTAACAGTAGGTAGGTTAGACAGTTCCAATTCAAGTAGAGGTTTGCTAATGATGCAGCCAATATGCATTTAATACTGTTTGTCCTGATTGTCTTTATGACCAGAATTGTCAGTAATAATATGTACAGAAGCACTTGAAATTTATCAAATGCCTGAGTTGACAGTATTTACAGGATAATTACATAGTGTTCCAAAAAGGTGTATACACATTCAATGAATTGGTTAATTAGTGGATCTGGTGTAGGTGTTCAAAACAACCACCATTAGCTTCATGACGCAGTTGACAGTGGTGAGTGAATGACAAGTAGCCACCAAAGTTGCTACTGTGTATACATGTTTTTGGGACTTTTGTGTATCTTCTTCAAGACTCCAACAGGAGAGTTAGAAAAATAATAAAACACACTTCCATTCTGCCTAATTTGAGTGTATGTTCTCCATTCAACTGTCCACTTTGAATCATAGTTATTACATTGGTATTGGCACACACAACTTTAACAACCATTTTATAACTTTAGTGACTTTTGTTGTTGATTTTGGCTATATGATAACAGTTTATTCATAGATTAATCTCTTGTCATTCTGCTGCTTTGTATATGTTGAATATAGAAGTAAATGTGGAGGCCCTTCTTTATATTTTAAATGAGTTTGTAACCTTAGAGGTTTCTGTTGCTGCAGATCTTGGTGTGACAGGATTTGCAGGGTTAGGCCATATTTAGATTGAAAAGTACAAATTTGTAACCTACCTGATATGCATATTTGAATATTGAAGTTTTTGTTTTATTTCCTTTCTTTAATCATTCAAAGAATGTTTCTTTCTTATGATAAATTTTCCCACATGTTTTTGTTTATTTATTTTCAGAGTAAAAGAATGTCAAAGGTTATCTAATTAAAGTAATCATGATATGCTATGTTATTTGTGTTTTTTATGATATTAAGCTCAAATATCCATCTTCATTGTTTTAATAATGGGATATTTTCTTTCTTATTTTATTCTCTTCTATCTGTTGGTGTAAATAGAGCTGTCTTCCTTAGCTGGTCTTGTTTGTATTTTGGCTTCATATTGTTTTATTCATCTTTCTCTTAATGTGTTCATTTCTGTTTCCCTGTGTTTTTTGCTGTATTGGCTATCATGCTTACTTAAGGAATAATTTTTCTTCTAAATGCAGAGGATATAATGTAATTATGTTTGCACTGGAAAGGCAGATAGCCCAGAGCATATGTGGACAAGTTTATGTTTAACAGGAATATGTATGAAACAAAAGCTGTGAACAGATTAACTTTCACAGTATATGCAGATATAAATTAAGTTATTTAGACCCCCTGTGTGGTAGTAATAGGTTCTGATCTGTCTTCTGGAATAGATCCCATGTCTTCCTAGTCACAGTATTTTATGTTGGCAGCATAAAGGTAACAGTGGTTCCAATAAGTCATATGTGTATGGCTATTCTCACTGTGTCTACTCTGTTGTGTATGTTAGTTCACTCTTTGATGATGAATACCTTCTGTTGTTGCATCTGTTTTGAACACATCAGTGTTCTTGTTCTGTTAAAGGGGTAGAGCTCCATTTGAGTAAATTTCAGTTATATGTTGTTCAGTTTTATTGGTAAGTATAAGAAGATATACTAGCAAATATTTATATAATATGTATTTTATACTAGCTTCTATAATCATATAGTATATCACTTCTCAGTTTCAACACTGTGCCAATACTTATATTAAGAATAACTGTTAAGAATTTTATTATATAGTTACAATTTTTTTTGTCTGTCTTTGTTGTTTTCATGTTTAAGTGTTTGCAGATATGTTATGTGCAGTACTTCTGATCTTGTCAAGAATTTGTATATTATTGTTGTTTCATTTATTAGGCATATTTCCAACCTGCAGAACACTAAATGAAACAATCCCATTCAACTCTTTGTCTGTCTGTACACATGAAAAAATCTGGGAACTGATCGACCGATTTTTTTGAAATATGATCTTGGAGAATTAAATGTTTTCAATCCATTTAACTTTTTATTTACACCAGACAATTTTAATAGCCTCTTTACATAAGATTATTTGAGTGTATCTCAGTGTGACTGCAGATGATATTTACTTGGTTACCTTGGTCATTGTCTCGAGTTGGTTAACTGGGGAGGCAGAGTTCTCCATGATGGTATCATCACCCAATCAGATACCCTACTCAGATGTGTCATTGATTCTGGACCTCTGGAATAACTGGCACCATTTGCAGTGGTCATGTCAAATTCTGGTGGGTGCACTATAAATGTTAAAATCTCCAGGCAGAACTCATTTGTGAGATCCAAGTTGTATATTTAAATGCTACATACTGGGAGATATTAAGGTGGTATAATGCTGGAAGAGTATAGATTCCAACTTTATTTTGTAAAATTCCTGTCACTTCCACTGTGCCATCTGCTACCTTGGATCAGTTCTGTATAAGATCTTTTTTTGTAATTGAGTGCCCAATATTTATTTAATGAGGTGTGTGCTCAGATTTTGATACTAATATTAGACAAAGGATTCATAAGTGGTGTATTTGTCACATTTGTGGGATGCATCAGGGTTTTAATGGGGCCATAAAACATGGAGAACTCTAGTCAGAGATATATAATGACAGTTTTCTGGTTGCAAAATCAAATTGTGCTTGATCAGTGCATGATGTGTAATGACTTGTATGTAGAATCGTTTCTCGGTCTAAACAGGATTTCCATGGTTTTTCAGTCATTCCAAGCAGTTGCCATAGTTGTGCTCTGCACTTTGCCAGTCTTCATAAGTCTCTTAGCAAAATTGTTCTTTTGAAGCAAACGCATACTGTCTGGCATTTTATTGTTACCTACATTCCATGGTGCATTTTATTACTCACGTCAAGCTATACTTCTCAGTATTCACTTGAAGCATTGCATACTGTTAGTGTTTCCAGTTTTTGTAAGTTAAGATTAACATAACTTTTCACATAATGAATATGAACCTAATCTTATTTGACTTTAATGCAATGGAAAACATAGTATCAAAATCCTTGATATGTATTTAAAAGGTTCTGAATATTACATGTCTGTTAATGTGCTTAACAGAATTTGTGTTTAGTATGAAGACATAATCCAGATAAGGCATGTAATTGCCTCAAAAATAAAACCTGATCATAAATTGTGATTGAAAGAAATTAGAGTTAGAATGTTGACTTGACTTGTTTTCTGTTCTGGTCATGGAATTTCTGTGACATGGAAATGCTTGTAGGAACATATAAATTTTGTTTTTAAGGCGCTATGGAGCATGTGCTCATTCAGAACATGTTAGCCACTTTGATGGCTGTCAAATGTTGCTGGGTAAAAGACAAGTATTTTGGTTGTGCAATAAAAAATTATGTATGTATAGGAAGGTTTTGTGATACGTCTGTAGAATTTATTCTTAAATCTTTGAATAGAGGACACTTTCAGTTAGTATGCATTTAGGTTAAAATGATTTGTAAGTGCATTAAATTCTCATATTATATAGGATGCACTTGAATTCATATTGTCAACAATAAATGTGTTATCTATTAATCTGCTTTTGCTTATGTATTCTGTGCAACGTTATGTGAATATACAGTGAATACGTTGTGTCCATTTGCTGGGATCACCATGGAAACTGTTTAGCTGCTCAATATGTGAATCTTAAGAATTGTGGCACATAAAACTGCAGAAATGCTATAGACATGTTATTCCTTTGAGGCAATATAAAATCTTTGGAGTTAGCACATCAGGTATGCATATGTGTAGTTTTATCATTAGCATTTTATTGGTTGATAAATATGCTAACAATAACTGATACACGGTTATGTAGTATGATATGGCAGCAGAAATGTTTCAATAATATTTTTATAAAACAAAGCATATTGGTACCTGTGATTTGATAGTAGTTATATTTGTTGATTGCTTTAATATAATAAATCATCTTTCCATTATTGCTAAATATTTAATACATAGTAATTTTATGCAATGAATAGAGGTATCTGACCCGTAGTTTGCCAACTGCAAATGGTTCCCGATTTGCAGTTGTTGCCCATGCATGCTGCATTTTGTTTCCAGAATATATTTTATTGTTTATCATTTGAGTAAGGGATTGTTAATCATAGCTGATCCATTTGTTATGACTGAAATGTATAAAGGACAGTTTTATTGTTTGAAATATTTTATGTAATAGACAGATTTGAGTGATAAGATAGGAACATGAATAAAATAATAACCAGTCGTATGTGTTTGCAGGATGAATTCAACTTTGTTAAAAGTGTGCAATACATTGAAAATTTTGCTTCTATTTGAGATGTGAAGGTGACTGGTGAGCATTATGCTCTGGCTGTTTTGTTTCTTGTTCCTATTGTGTAGGAAGCTGAGTGGTACCAGACTCAGTATGATAACACTAGGCAAAAGAATATCCCTGTCCCTGTTGGGAATCGAAACCTGGTCATTCAGCCCATGGCCAAAATATGGATGAAGAAATTGTTGTGGGTTGAAAATTTTGAGGTCAAAATTGTATTTTGACACCTGAGTTTGGTTGTATATGTAATCTCACGTACTAATAATTTTTAATGTAAACATTTCTTATCTCTCAGTACTGTGGCCAAACACAGCAATTGCTTTGTATTCATTGCCATTCTACTGTATTCTACTCAATTGAATTCTGCAGCAGCTTGAAACATTTATTTTAGGAAGTGCTGTCACTTGAACATATGCCTTTGTTGTAAAGGATCATTAATTTACTACATTGTGTATTGGTGAAATCTGGAAACTTCCAAGCTCCCCCTGTGTACTGTCAATGTTCTCATAGTACACCTTGTAATATGAATGTACAACATGTTTTATTTTATTGTGAATGTGTTATTCTCATTAGTATGTAAAAAACCATTATTATACATGTAAATTAAAAGTTCATACCTAAGTTAATTTATTTGATGTGTTTCAATAAAGAAATCACAATAATTAGAGGGGTTAATTTACAGCTTTTTCAGACTGTTTTGTAAGTGAAAGAGTTTGTGGTCATTTGTCTTACAATATCTCAATTCCTCTTGATCATAAAGTTTTGAGGATTATCACCCATTTAATACAATTGATATGCTGCTATAGATACAAAGAGTACTAAAAAATGTGACAAGGCAGTTTGGTTAGCAACTCCAGGTTGAATGAAATGGGCATGAACCAGCATGTAGTAAGCCATATCTTAACAGGAGCAGACTACAACCATTATAAAAGTGAATCAGTACACATTTATTCTTGTGATCATTCAGCTGTAAACAATTTTAGACACATTTGCTGCCCTGTGGAGCACTTGTTAAAGTAAATTTGTCCATCATTGTGCTAATAGGGGTCACAGTGGCCACACAGTCTGCAGCATGGGCCTTGTGCCACTTGGTCACTGGGACTGTTGGTTTGAATCCCACTCAAGCCATGGATGTTTGTCTACGTTTTTCTGTGTTGTGCTGTCATGCGTACAGGTAGAGGCCTTGTGACGGTCCGATCCCTCATCCAAGGAGTCCTAGCAAAATGTCTATAGATCAAAGCCAACGAAAAGTTGGGACCCGCATTGCTCAGGCACTTGAAGAACGGGTCGTCAAAGTATTGTGGTAATGAGTAAGAATAGTGGAATGGGATTATTCATTAAATTTAATGAGTTTTACAAAAGTTTGTTGACATATTCCAGTTTTGCTTGAGATTGAACAACGATAGTGGACTCTTCACATAAAGACTTTCATGTGTTCTGAAGTGACTGGGTAAAGAATTCCCTGGCCATAAGCAAAGCTAATTTTGGTGAAAGTTCCAGAATTTTGCTGTGTGTAACTAATTAAATTTTCACCAATCTTGGTGGGATGTAAGAGCACCTGTGTATAAAGAGTTGGAATTGTAACGTGTAAATAGGTAAGTGTGTACCAGATTGCTGTTATTTATGGGCTAGATGAATTGTTTTTCCTTGCCCATTTGGGGATGGGGAGGTGCTTTTACTTTGATTAGGAGTTACAATAATGGAAGAGGGTCATAATAGGAAATGGCAGTTCTGATACTACTGCACACAAACAGCGAAATATGAGAGAATATTTTATTTTAAAGGAGGAAAGGTCTGCTACGACATATTTCTCGCATTTGGATGATATTGATTTAGAAGTTTCTCATAATGTCAAAATGTCTATGAGAAGCATCCATTGTAGCTAATTCGTGTTTCTAAGAATGTATCCATTTTTAAAATTACTGTGCAATAATAGGATCCCATGCACTTTAAAATTAAATGGATTGTTAAGGGAAATTATTGTGAAACTTATGTTCTCTGCGACTAATAAACGGACGGTACTGTCATAAACTTCGTATACGTATGAAAAATTATGAGGTACATCTCATATCTGATCTTTTGGTGTTTTAGAAAGGTAACTGTTTATGATTATTTAATGTAAAGGTATACAATACTTTTTCGTGCTATTTTTATGATTCATGTCCGAACCTGATATAAAATTAACATCAAAAATTATTTTTGGTTTTTATTTGCGGCTTTGTTTGAATTACTTGATATCAGTTTTTATTATGTTTTAGAGTAGGCGATATACAAACACAGATAAGTATGTGTGACGATGGCGTTCAGTTTTGTTCAAATTGGTAAGTGAAATACGTCTTTTTCTAACTTACTAAACGCAAGAATTGAATGTTCAACTAATTGATTATATTCTCATCTCTTTAGCAAGCGTGAGGTCCCGCGAAGCAATTTTGTAATGCATAATGTGCATTGCCAGAGGAAGCTAGCTCTGTGTAATAAGTGTGATGAACCTGTACCAAGATGTGAACTTTCAGCTCACAATACAAATTTCCATGCTGTTGTTAAGTGTCCGGCATGTGGTCATCAGTGTGAAAAAATACATTTAGTTGACCACCAGGTTAGTACAAGAAAACGTGGATGTCATTATTATGCATTTATGATTTAAAGAGTATGATATACACAGGGTTGGACAGCATGAATAACATTTTGGGATGTGGTATGCATTGAGCAGGTAGGAAGGATACTGCTGCCTTTGAAATACGTGTTTAGGATTTATATGTTTATCAGTAGTTTGGGAAATGTTTGCATATTGTTTCCTAAGCTTTGGATAGGTATTTGGCAGTTGCGAATAAGTGACTAAACCATTTCATGCAAGCTGAAGCCATTTTATAAGTTGATATTTTTACTTAATTGTGTTATGGAAGGGTAAATAAGGTATTTGTTTATAATTTTCAGAATTCCTCATGCAGCCATCGAACTATATGCTGTAATTACTGTCATATTGAAATTGAAGCCAATGAATTGGCAGAACATGAAAATTACTGTGGTAGTCGTACAGAACGGTGTGAAGATTGTGGAGAGTTTGTGATGCTGAAGTATCAGCAGCTACATCAGGATTCTAATCATAGCTTCTTGAAACTTAAAGATGGTAATGCACAAGAATTTTTATATTTTTGGGTAAATTACATAATATATAACCAAGTCTCACACTTTTATTTGCCAGAGTTCACTTGTATTTCCTCTTCTCCTTATAACTGTCTGACAGTGTGATTAGCAGGATATAGCTGAGGGAGAAAGCATTCACTCTTATGCCTGACATATTTTTATCAGTTGTTAACACAGTTTTTGTGTAAAAACTCTTCATTGTCATTGCCACTTCAGGTCTCTCCACAGTCTGACATGCATATTCTAATTTTACCAATTGTCTGGTTAAGAACCCTGAAGTAGAATTTTATGCATATAACCATAGATGCTGAGATCTGTAATCTTTATTTCTTTATTTGTGGTGTATGTAGCAGTCGGTAGCAGCTCAGACTATATAGGATTGAGTGATCAGATGATTAATAAAATGATAAGGGTAAGGAAGAAAGCAGTTATTGTCTAATTATAACTCAGCTGTGAGGTTTAGTACCTCTCATCACACACACACACGCGCATACATGTGTTCTGACATGCGTCCTAAGAGTGTATTCAGAGGTGACATTCTTGATCTGAACTTTTATGACAACACTTTCAGATTACAGATAACCACTGCTCCTGGATGTGGAGTTGGCTCTCATCTCATTATTGGCATGTCATTTTTAAACTACTCCACTGTATTTTTCTAATTTTTGTAAACGCAGGATTGACACAACTATAATAATACAGAATAATTCTGTACAATATATTTTGACTTTATAAAAGTCTTTCACTCATGAAAATATCTAATGATACTTTCATAAAGTTGATACTCGTAGTGGAGTAATATGCTGTGCTGTAGTGGTGTTAATAACAAATTATGTACTGTACTAACCATGGCTTACAGCATATAAAGATACTTTGTTACATCTGTTCATGTGTAGGTATATTTAAGTAAGGACATTTCCCATGTTGTGGAACCAGAATACACAGACAGCAAGTGCTGTGCTTTGTGTTGGTAGTTATGTGTGAAGGGAACTGAGGAAGATGATGAGGATTGCAGTATCTGTGTTGTCCACTAGTTCTCTGATGTTGTGTTTATAAGCTTTCGAACAGCTTGTGGATACAGGAAATGCATGAACATTTCTATACCTAGACATCGTGGAAAAAGCCACTGGGAAGATTATGGTGTGGGCAGGATGATGATTTAACAAGTTCTGATAAGAACTTGGGAACATGCTTTCCTTTGAATTCTGTGTCTATATAGAGTCTAGCAGAGAACTAAAGTTGGTCAGAGATTTATCTGGCTCTAGATATGTCTCAGTGGTTGGCTTTTGTTGAATTAAAAGTACTTTTTTATGAACAGTTTTACCTAGGTAGGTTATCATTGTTTTCAGGAATTTTATTGAATGATGTTGCTATTAAGGCAATGATTATAAAGAATTATAAAACTTTGTTTTAGAAGTTTTCCAACCAGGTATTTATATGGATTTCTTGTTTTCACCATGCATGCCACATTTAAGCTTTATTTCATCATTTTAACATTATTATAATTCAATTTATGAAGCTCCTCATTATGTAACTTTTTCAATAACTTGGATGCTGTTGTTGGTGTAGTGCTCAGTATATTAATCATGAATATGGTTTTAGAGCCTGGGCCTAAGCCTTCTTGGAGCAATATGCGAGTGACATCTTCCAGTCTGCTCAATGATTTGGGTCGCCAGCGTAAGGTATCGAATGCCAGTCAGGATTCTGCACGCCCCACTTCAGCCTCCAATCGGCTGTCTCCCAGCAAACGCACTAATGACATGCCTCAAGTCAACTCTGCCACAACTGCAGCTCCTACAAAGGACCATCATAAGACCACTATACCTTCAGGTAGTTAGCACTGTTGCTAGCAATACAGGAAATGTCCATGACCATCAGTGAAATTAAAAATAAATTGAAGCCAAGTATCATCATGGCTTTTTTTATCATGATCTGCTCAAGAAAATTACATCATACTCTATTAGTGCTTTATTTTACACTAATCCACATGAGGTTGCAACTTGTATACAAATATCAATTGAAAGTTCTTTAAGGAAGCTTGTAAAGTCAGTAAGGTAATCAGTTGGCATTATGTATAACTATATTCTGATTCTTTCTCAGGTTTTCCTAAAAGTAAACTGTACTGAAAGAATGGAATTGCTTACTTGTTATGACAGTCTTATGAATATCGATTCTTGTTGATCAATTTTCTGCGGACAGACTTGGAGCCCAGAGCATCTACTCATATGTCCAAAGATGGGCACAGTCTGTATGCAACAGGATTTGATGCTAGCTAATGTAAGGCGATTATCGCCACAGAATTTTGGAATAATAATATTTAGGCTTTGTTGGACACTGAAATAAAATGAATGAGTTGAATGCTGGGATGGCACCTTACATTAATATGACACAACTTGTTCCCTCTTGTCCCATTTTACATTAAATGAACTCTCCAGTCAATATAGCATCCTAAAAATCTGTGGACTTAACCTATTTATGGTTCTTAAACTACTACGATGTAGTTTTTCTTAAATTGACACTTTTGTCTAATTTTTTAAGGAAAAATGTGACTATCATAACATTCTAATTTTATTGATGTAGACAGGGACTTCTGTTACAGATGATGGTGGTGTTGACTTGGATCAGCTGCTGGCTCTCCGATTGGCTGAACAAGAGCATATGTTGAACACCATCCCTTCAGCACCATACGTTGTTGATGTGGGAGCCCTGACCCAGGGAGGTGGGGAGCTTGTGGCATTGCCCTGCGAATTTTGCCAGGCTATGGTACCAGCCAATCAGCTTGTTATCCACGAGACAGGCTGTCGTCCAGATCTGGCTCGTTATGACCCTGTTCCTGTACCATTAAAACATAGGAAACCGTCTACCTCATCAGAAGAAGACAAAGATAGTGATGGCTTGCCATGCGAGTTCTGTGGTCTTCTCTTTCTCCCACAGTTTCTTCTTCAACACCAGGTATGTATAATATTTGGAACTTTGTGAGAAGAGTGTAGGCAGGAATAGTGATTTTCAAATGTATTCTCTATGGCAGTGGTCCCCAACCTTTTTGTGCCTACGGGAACATTTGAGAGTTTGTGAGATTGTGTCGGGCACCAACCAATTAACAAAGCCAAATTTTATTTTCTCTGGACAAATAAGATAAGGACACCAAATAAAACACAAAACAACACGACATTTAATGATACAAGAAACCACGCAATCAAAAATACATAGTTTTATAAGTACAATTATTATTACTCAAGTGGGAAGTTAGTGTGATGTTTGTCACTGCATTTCATCGGCCAGTTTTTCAAATTTGGGAGTGTAGGATGATGTCACTGCTCGCAAACAATCGTCAAGATGGGCATTAGTAAGTAGAGATCTGTGCTTTGATTTTATAATGTTCATGGTTGGACGGCCTTCATTATTCAGTATAACCTCTTTCTGTATCAACGCGGGCACCCAAAGGAACCATGGCACCCGCGGGCACTGTGTTGGGGACCACTGCTCTATGGTTACATGAGGAATGAACAAGATGCCACAAATGTGTCTAGGTCCTTTAGAATCAATCTACCTGATGCTGTATAATGGGAATAGTGAAACTGAGAATTAAAAGAATTAAGTATTAGAGCTTATGCTAGAATTTCATTACACACATATTTAAAAACTAAGCCTACAAAGCCATATTGTATTCTACCCAGTTCTGTTTTGGTTTTTTAGCTATTTGTGATGGAAATCTTGGGACCTTCACCATTTTTATTTGTAATGTGTTGGTAGGCTTTGTGTAATGTGACACCACCTCTGCATGATGGTATCCTAGTGAATGAGCTGGGTCCTGTACCAAGGTCTAGCAGTAGAACAACTAAGAAACTGCTGAATCTTGCTCCAGACACTCCACTAACGTCCATAGATCACATGGAAGATAAGAATCCTTACCTGAATGAGATGCGGGCAGCTCTGAAGAAACCCGTGGCCAACGTACAACCTATTGGTAAGTAGGAAACTATTTTGGTAAAAAGGCTGAACATAAGATTGTCTTAAAGTGTCAGTATGAAAGTAAATTTGGTCATGTTTATGTTATATTTTGATAGCAGTCCCACCAATTTGTGGGCAGAAGAACACATTGAAAGAATGAGCTGTAATAGGGCAACAAGAAAATTATAAAGTGAACCTTAGGAAGAACCCCCCAAAAAAGAAAGATTTTATTTCATAAAATGTCAGCTAAACCTAATACTTGAAAAGTTGGTGATGACTATAGGACTAAAAAACTTTTTGCCTGTTTCAAGGTCACCAGTACTCATCTGGTTCTGAATTTGCTCAACAGAAAGAACTTGAAACTGTCAACTGCCATTCAAATCTTACTTCACAAGGGTGAGTTTTAATTGTACATGAATATTCAAAGACGAGTGCATTTCTGAATTGAGTTTAAACATAGTTGGTACCTTGATATATGCACAGCAGAAAAGAAGTGTCTCACTGCTTTTGTTTTTGCACTAAGCAGTGGGAGTAATGTATACTGATTTTCATGAACCAGATTTGGTAGGTAACAGTTGTCAGAGATGTCAAATTACAGCCTGAGCTCCACATTTACAGTATATTTTACATGTGTCTTGCTCTTGTATGCTCTTCCAAGCAGTGGAGAGAACTAACAATATATGAATTCAATGGTCATTACTGAACCTTTTTTCAGGTGTGCTAATGGTATGGTTCGTCATCCCACATCAACTGGAGCAGTACCCAAACAGAAGGCAGGAAGGCGTGTGAACACCCGTGTGTATCATACTAATCCATACCTTCTGTTCGTGTACAACTGGTTATGCTTGGCAGTCGTTTTGTTTTACTAGTTCTGCATTGATATGACACAGCACTTTGATTTGTTGAAAGCACAGCTTCTTAAAAATGTTTTCATTTACAGGCAGTGCCTATACATAATGTGACAGACACTCAGGTTAACTCAGGTTAGGGACCAGTGGCAGGCTCCTGTGAGCACAGTAATGAACTCTTTTCTTCTAGAAAATGTCTGGAATTTCTTTACTAGTTTCTCAAGAAGAAAATTCTCATTGTAGCTCATAGTCAGTATAATGGTCTGTTACAGTAATTTTGTTATTTACCTTATAACGCTGGTTGATAACAAGAATTCCTCCATTATTCTCTGATTTCCCATTAAATATTTACTCTTTATAGAAGCATATTATCAAGAAAAGGTATATGAAATGATTGAAAGGGCTTCCAGCGACTGATATACATACAATAACAATTTAACTGTTACATTATATTACAGTAGTATGTTATTGAACCCTTATCCCTGTATCCTCTGAGTTGTTACACTGGTAATTGATTCTTCCTCTCTTTACTGCTAAATTTTCATTGATTTGCCAGTAAATTTTCCTGCATATGATCACTTTAACAAAAAATATATAAATTTTGATATAGTTTTTATTATTAGTATCTGTAACATCAAGTTTACAAAGAAATGTGCATGAATAATTAGTATATGCTAATTAATATTATTATGATCTGCACAACAGTGATGATTTGGGATTTCTTCTACACATTATGAAACTTTAACAGTGCATGGTGTCATATCAGTGTTGTATTTTACAATCAGCTGATTGCAGACATTGCCAGTTGTTAAAAATTCATTAGAATGGAAGGAATAGGCAGCATTTAACATGTTTGCTAACCGTATGCTGGAAAGAAAAGTCTGTGGTATCAGCAGAATGAGTGATGCTATTCTAACAGAAAAGATAGTTGCATGTGTTATAAAACAAAACTTATTTATAACCTCTTAACTTATCACTTTACATGTTTCTGCCAAAGAATGGATAATTTCACAGTATTGTTGCATAACTTCATCATGAAACAGATAAGATATATAGCACGTACAGGAGAGTTGAAGGTATCAGACCACTTGGGTTACCTGGTCATGGATGGGAGGGAAATATTAAAATGAATATTAAGGAAATGGGGTGTGGAAGTGATTGGATTATCTGGCGGAGATAGAGACCTGTGTCAGGTTATTATGAATATGGTACTGTTACTTGACAGTGCCTGTCCTGAGGCCTAGATGATCTAACCTGAGAAAATAGAAGCAAATGGGGTATCCAACCTAGGAAAGTCAAGGTCAAGGAATAGCAATAATAAAATGGATTTCCAAAGCTCTGGTGGGCTAGGCACGGAATAGAAAGCCTGGGGAGCAGAGCTTCAGGAACAGGAAGTGCACAGGGCCAGGCCCCAACAAAGCAAGCATCCTGGGAAATAGCCTGGGTGTCAATGCCCCATGGATTAAATAAAGCCCATTCGGGACTAGGCATTGGGGACAATACTAAGGGTGTCCTCAGGAGGGCATAGCCATGTGGGTAGTGAAGCCCTTGGGGGGGGGGGGGAGCATTACTGGTAATCCTGTGCCTAGATGAGTAGAGGAAAAGGTGTGTTGAATGTGGGGAAGGCAAGGCCAAGGAATAACTAACAGTAGGCATAACAACAACAATAGGAACAGGAATAATGGTAATAAAAATTGTATTAACAATAACAGTAGGGTGATTAAGTTGAGAAGAATGAGATGGGTAGGGCATGTAGCATGCATGGATGAGACAAGAGGTAGGCACCAGATATTGGTTGGGAAGCCTGAGGGGAAGAGACCACTGGGGAGACCTAGACATAGATGGGAGGATGTCAGGTGGGATCTATGGGAGATGGGAGTTGAAGGAGACTGGATTTTGTTGGCCCAGGACAGGGTCCGGTGGAGGGCTTTGGTTAATTTGGTGATGAACCTTCAGGTTCATTAAGCCATCAAGTTAGTTAACAATAAGTTTCCATTATTGTGCAGCAGTTACCCTAGTCATGCAGGTTGACTGCCTCCTAGGAAATTTGTGAAAGACAAGGCATTGATAGGCCCATAAGGTATGCTTTACTCATGCTAGAGCATGAAGAATACCTAAAAACTAGCATGTTATGAAATATTTTTTGTCTACATTGTGTTAACTAATTGATCTGTAACAAGCTACCAGAAATTTAATTTAAGGATTTAATCAGTTGAAATACTGAAGTGATGCTTCTTCAGTATTTGAACCTTCATGCTGGGTATATAGTTGACTCGGTTTCACTGTGTCAAAGTCTTTATTTTCTTAAGTATTGTTTCATTGTCCTGATATTGTATCTTATCAGAGGTAACATATGTTTTGCATGAGTTACAAAGGGCAGACATTCTTGAAGGAGGGTTTAATAATAGAGTGGTAAGTTTATTATGTTAATCCTGATGTATTTGAAGTTCTCATGGTAGTGAGTATGAAGTTGGCTATCTTCTGGGTTGTACTACCCTGATGTTGGAGGCAGCAAGTACCTCTGAACCAGTACATAGTGCTATAACCAAGAAGACAGCTATCTTAATCCTGATGTACCTTCTGAAACTGAACATGCCTGTGGAAAATACAGTATAGTTGTTATGAAACTGTTACAGCCTATAACAGTACCATGATTACAGCAAGAGGAAACAATTAAATTTTGAAAACTATATGTGCAAGAAACTGTGCGCAAAAATAGTGACAAAGTTATGTATGACAAAGGTAACACAGACTGTTTGTACATAGTATAAGTTCTTCCCAAAAGAAAATACTATGAAATAAATTTGTATCTGTACTAAGTCAACCTTAAGGTCAGTGATGATTGGTGGTTTATTCTATAACAGTTTCAGTGTGTATAAATTTTAAAAATGGTATGATCTACAGTTGGGGCAGGAAAACGAAAGAGTCTGCTTGATTAAAGTGTTTGTATTGCAATTTTAATGTATGAAAACATGACACAGTACAGGAGGGCCTTTTGATGAATAAACATAAATGTACTGTAGCAGCTAGTAACCAAACCATTTAGGAACACGATCGAGGCAGTATGATACACTGGTGTTATTTTGGATACAATTTTGGGAATTTCCAATATGAACATTTTATCATAGTCTGTTTACATAGTGCTTATATGAAATGAAGCAAGAACATACACCCAGTTCTTTATATGCACAGATTGTAAATTTTATACCTTACTGTTGGCATAGTACAGAGGATCGGGAAGGGACTTGAAAAAGTTCATTGAAGTATTTAAGGCAGTGTTTAAAATACCCTTACCTTCTTGTGTTCATGAACATGATTCCTGTTCTTGCAGATGAAGTCTCCCAAGAAGTATCGTGCCCCACTGCCACCACAGTAAATCCATCTGGACACCTGCAGTTCCATCATACTGATACCAAAAGATGATCAAGTCAGGTGTTTAAGCTACATTGGTTGAGTAAGCCAGTTCCTTCTTCCATACATGAATACCCCACTTGTAATAAGATTTAGTTGTTAGACACTCTGATTGTCATTCAGCAGTGCAAGTAGTGGCTGATACTGTGGTGTCTGTATTACTTGTACCAGTCAGTATCAATGTGATACATCCTTGCATAATTGCTAAACAAATACAAAATTAAGATTGTAGACAGTATGTAAACAGTGAACAAAACTGCCGTTATATTTGACTTGCTGCTGTTAGTCACATATATACGAGGGTCGCTCATTAAGTAATTCCCCACATTTTTTTCCTCAGAACATATTTATTCAAGATGGCTCAAATTTAGTGACAATATAAATCAATGTTTCCTTTACACATGCTATTTTTCCACATAGTCCCCATCAACTTGTACGGTTTTACGCCAGTGTGGAACAAGTGCATGCATGCCTTGCCGGTACCAGCTCTTGTCCTGTGCACGTAGCCATGTCCTCACTGCTTGAATAACGCTCTCGTCATCTTCAAACCTTGTTCCGCGGATAGCATCTTTAAGTGGCCCAAAGAGATGGAGTCGGAGGGTGGATGGGGCAGCACCGTTCAACCAAATTTGGTGATTTCTTCCCGGGTTCTCAGACTTGTGTGAGGGCGTGCATTGTCATGCAGGAGCAAAATTTCTGCTGGAAGCTTGTGAGGCCGAACTCGTCGGAAACGCTTCTTGAGGGTTTCCAGGGTCATAATGTACGCGTCTGAATTGATGGTCGAACCTCTTGGCATCACATCCACAAGAATGACCCCATCACTGTCCCAAAAGACAGTCATCATGACTTTTCCGGCGGAGGGAGTTGACTTGAATTTCTTCTTTCTCGGTGATAGAGGATGATGCCACTCCATTGACTGCCTTTTTGTCTCCGGCTCAAAGTGGTGTATCCAGGTTTCGTCACCTGTAATGATCCGGGACAGAAAGATCTCTCCCTCAGCATCAAAACGCTCCAACAATTCAGAAGAAATCGTTTTCCTTTGAATCCTGTGGTCTGCTGTGAGACTTCGTGGAACCCATCTTGCGCACACCTTCGAATATGCAAGAGCCCGGATAATTGCAATTACACTTCCATTACTGACTGAAAGCTGTTGGGCCAATTGTCGAGTTGTGATGCGCCGATCCTCACGAATAATGGCATCCGCGCGGTTCAACATGTCTGGAGTGGTGGCTGTGGCAGGACGCCCAGAGCGCGGCAGATCACGGAGCTCGGTTTCTTCACTTCCTGAAGCTTTAACGCTCTTAGCCCAGCGACCAACGGTGCTCCTATCGACTGCACAGCTTCCATACACAGCACACAAACGTTTATGAATGTTCACCACCGTTTCTTTTTCAGCAACAAGGAATTCAATTACAGCTCGTTGCTTGTAACGAGAGATAGTTAAGAAATGAACTATAACCAGTGGTGCAAGGACCCTCTGATGCCAAAGGATGGCAGATATTTTATATACTATGAAATTTGTCAGTCACTGGTATTTAACACACTCTGATAGTTGCCGTATGATTAATGAAATACCTGATTTTATTTTCAGTCAGTTTTTTTTTTTTGAGTTGTTTTAAAACTTTCCCTCAGACATATTTTCATTTGTAATATAGCTGCATACAATTTTTAGTAATTGTGTATTTTTAATTAAGCAGGCATTCCTTGAATTATCTACTTTGGCTTTGGAGTTGTGTTTAGAAATTATTTCCATTGCAGTGTTCTTTCTGGTCACTGCATACAGTACTCTTGAGAATAGCTGTGAATCAGTCAGATATGAAAAGTTTAAGAAGAATACTTAGTGTGTACTTTGATTCCCATCTTCATTATGGGTTACTAGTAATGTCCACTGAAATTTGTTGCAAATCCAAAATGAATTTTTCTGTGGTGAATGGTTATGTAATCTTCATTTGCTTGAAATTAAAATATTCACAACAGAATATTGTTATATATGTGTGTGCCAAGTTTTTGGACACCCCTCAGCCCAATATTCATAACAGGAAACTAATTAATTTGTCAGGATTTTTCTCTCAGAGATGAACATTTTTTCCCCAATTTTTCTATTAGGGCTGTGGAGTCAGAAGCAATTTTAGGTGGGGTCGGAGTCAGTAAAAACGTACCGACTATGACCTCGATATAAAATATTAAGAAAATAACATTTTAACACTTTTGCTACCTTGTGAGCTGCTGGCGGCCGCACGCATAGGATAATTCAATGACATGTTGAGCCACATGGTGTGGGAATAATGCTTTGTAACGTTGGCTCCGGTACCTTAAGAATACAAACTGTCTACAAATCAACCGATTTCTGCAATAACCATTAGACTTGTACTTAAATATAGGTTATAAGTCTAAAAAACAGCCTGATGATTCACGTGGTGGTGATAAAATGTCTTATGGTACCATTTACCATTTTAGTAGGTTTACCATTGTTAAGACATTGAGCTTTTATGAAGGAAGCAGAGATTTAGAAATTAAGGAGCTGGAGTCAGAGGTTTTTTGTACAGACTACACAGCCCTGTTTTCTATGACTCAATCTACAAGTCACCCAGATGCATATTGAAATGTAAAACAATTTTTTTTCCTGGGTTCTCTCTCCAAGAACATTTTTGTATTTACCATTTATTCTATGATTCACCATTGTATGTAGGTTCTTGAACACTCCTGTGCCTAATATTTAAAACAAACAAAAATAAAGTTTCCCAGGATTGTCTTTACAATTTGAACATTTTTTACATTTACCAGTTCTTTTTACGACTTACCTGGGAGAAATCCACCATTGCATATGGTAAGAGATTCTGACTGCATGATAGCAACCATTCACTGAATTTAATCTGCTCTTAATCTTTTCATGGAAGAAATTTCAATTTGTTACCACTGTCCCCATATATTTTAACTTTGTCAAGTTTTCAAAGGATTTATAAGCTGCCTTGAAAAATGATTTTGTCTTGTGATGATACATGATCATATATTTATGTGTCTGTGTGTATACTTCTAGATGAACCTCCTTACTAGCATTTAACATAGCTTCTTTGTTTTTCCTTATGTTATTTATGTTTTTGCAAAATATATTATCATCATAGACCCTTCAGTTCTAATTCTGCTTTATCTTGGAGCTTGAAAGTGAAGTTGAAACGCCATGGAGTTAAAGTATCTGCTTGTTTCACATCATTCTGAATAAGAAATGCACCAGAAAAATACCTGCCTTTGCAGACTTTTAAGTTTATTTGATGAAAATGGGACATGTGAATTTATTATATTTTAAAATCAGTTATCCTTAATTTTGTGATTTTGTTATGAAAGCTTGTATGTAATTATACTCAGATTATTTTCACTACAGCACCAATTTTTATACTGCATTTATGTAAAGCTACATCTGAAATTGTCTGTACTGACTTAACATGTCTTTCAGGGTATTATGATGGTTTTCAAGTTGTCACATATCTTATTCACATAGCACTAGTCTTTGTTGGCATTAAGAACAAAATGTTGATGTGATATAATTACATTGTTGCCAAAGGAATAAATAGGCTGTTATATTCTGGCAGGTATGTCAAATATCTTGCCTGCAATGCCCAGTGTTAGCCTATAAAAATAGGATTCTTTATTTTTAGTGCAGATGGTTGTGCATTGTACATCACTCACTATTTAATGCTAATATATCAGGTTTGCTGCAGTTGTGTATGCATGTCATCTGTACATACTGATTATTCCAATGGCACCAAAGACAGTCTGATACATACAATGTCATTAACTAAACCATAAATAAATAAGAGCAAGCCTGTAAACAGATGCTGAAATGAACTTCATATTTATCATTTATATCTTCTTTCCAAAAGAAGTAAAGATTAGTGTTTGCTGGAATTAGCAACTTCAAGTTGAACACAATTCATTGCTGTTTAATTGTAACAATATGCTGTAATACACAGATTGGAAAGGCACTATTTTGCTTTGTTTTCATAAGCAAATTTTTTTTAAATAAACAAAACAGATCTATAAACTCATGCACTCTCTTCAAAGAAATGGTCAAGATAAATATTCCACTGTTGTAAATACTTCGCAACTTTATGATGAAGGTGAATGAGTAGGAAACCTTAATGTGATGACCGTACCGATTTTTCCAAATCAATCAGAAATAGCTATAAGAAAAAAAACAGTTTCATTCTTACATATTACACATACTGGTGATGCTGATGATACATTGGAACATGAAGAAATAGTACAACTATGTATATGCTATTCTCCTCAGTTAACATATTGTATTACAGTGCTTATTTAAATAACCATTTTATCAACAATTATGTCTTAGCTTTAGGTCTCAAGAGTTGCACAGCAGTTTTACCTTTTATAATTTTTAAACTTTGGTTTGCTCATGTGTTGTTATTTTGATTTTTTTCTGGAACTCTTTTTATGTGTGATGCAGAATTCACAGACGGCTAATCACATGAAAGTTGGGTTAGTCTTTTCTGTTTGCATAACAAAGACTGTATCATAATTCAGGTAGAAAGAGATCCAGGCATCTCTGTGCCAAACCCTGGGTAATAACATACATAGGTCCTGGAAGAAGTGGGACCAATTATTTCTCAGGAAAAGTATACTAGATCTTGCCAAACAGCCTCTGCAAAGTTGGCTGGTCTTGGAGTATGGATGTCTATTTAAAGATATGTTCAGATTTGTGAATAATGCAGAATAACTATTTTATTTGAATTGTACATTGAGGTTCTTCATAATTCTAACTTCTTGATGTGTCAAAAGCATATAAAATACGGTTATTTGTGTTTTTCCAGTTCACAAATTAGCCCACTTTCATCTGACTCATAAATGAAAACAAATGTATATATTACTGGTTTATTGCACAAAAACTACATTAATTGTTCTTTAACATTACAGTTCATCCAGTGTTATTTAGTAATCTCGGCCAGTTTCAGTAACAGACTAACTTCAACTTTCGTAGTTGTGTTTTATATCCTTCCACAGTTTCTGTAAATAAAATAAATCAATCAGATAATAGGAAAAATGGAACAACTCTCACTATAAAAAAAAACTCATAGAAGTCTTACCCCTCGGTTAATTGACTCGAAAATATATTCGGATGTTATGTCAAACGTACGCTCGAATAAAAATGCCCCCACCATTATCGTTGCTGCAAAAGTTGAAGTTCTCCTGAAGAGACTATTATATACTTTACGAGCTATTCCAACCATTTTACTTTTACCCAACGCCCACTGATTGCAAAAATCCAGAGCCTACACTTCCAGTTCCTTTCGATCAGAGTTGCCAAAAGTCATAACATATTTACCCCAGATAATACTATGCATCTGGAAATTAACTATATTGGCTATGCTGTAATATCGCCCAAATTACAGCAAGGAGTATTGGAGGTTTGAATTAATCTTTTTATCCTCCTTGAGAAATTGCGTGTGGGTTTTGTTTCTGTGGAATTGTTCATCATAATCTAAGTAATAAATTTATATAATCACAATTTGGTGTTTACAGCAGTTTGTGTTACTAAAAATGTGGATATGATTATTTTCTTAGACCATTAGGATAGTATTATGTAGTGATTCAGTATTTAATAGATCGCGTAGCTATATTGAGATTTTCAAGATGGACGGTATGTTGTGTGTGTCTGTCATGACAAATATGTCATGCCAATTAGTTGGTTTTGCTTAATAAGTGACGTGACCTTAAGAATTAACAATGGGAGCAAGAGATTCTAAGCCGTGTTGTATCACATACGAAGAAGCTGTCAAAAGGGGTAAGAATGGTAAAAGTGACTTAAACGAATCGTCTGCTAGGATTATATGTAATCTGGGCAATACATGAAAAATGATACTTGAAATGGAGGAATACTATCTAACAGTGACACACTGTTCTTTTATTTCAGTCACTGATGCAGAACTTAAGCGACTAAAAGAGGCGTTTAAAAGGGTTTCCACTCTGAATGGTTGCATAACAAAACAGTCTTTTATAAAAGATGTTTTGGGGGAAGGGGTGCCTACACCAGTGGCAGAGGTTAGTTTCAACTTTGTACTTCTGTATGTTTATAATTTTTTTGGGAACCTGAAGTTATGCTATGTAAGAGACAAGTGAAATTGTCAATTCTGATTGTAATTTCTTACAATTACAGTACATCTTTAGTGCTTGTGGTGGAACACAGAAAGGAATAGGTCTTAAAGATTTACTTTGTGGTCTTGTGCTGCTGACCAGAGGACGAGAGGAAGAGAAGTTAAAATGTAAGTGCAACGTTACTGTAAACATACAGGTAACAGTTTTAAATTGTTGTAAAATAACATTTGCTTTTCTTATTTTAGTTCTATTTGGGCTTTATTCAAATGAAAGTGGAAGCTATGTTGTTCGTGAGGAACTGCAGTGTATGCTTCAAGCCTGTGAGAATGGTTTCGGTTAATTGACTCGAAAATATATTCGGATGTTATGTCAAACGTACGCTCGAATAAAAATGCCCCCACCATTATCGTTGCTGCAAAAGTTGAAGTTCTCCTGAAGAGACTATTATATACTTTACGAGCTATTCCAACCATTTTACTTTTACCCAACGCCCACTGATTGCAAAAATCCAGAGCCTACACTTCCAGTTCCTTTCGATCAGAGTTGCCAAAAGTCATAACATATTTACCCCAGATAATACTATGCATCTGGAAATTAACTATATTGGCTATGCTGTAATATCGCCCAAATTACAGCAAGGAGTATTGGAGGTTTGAATTAATCTTTTTATCCTCCTTGAGAAATTGCGTGTGGGTTTTGTTTCTGTGGAATTGTTCATCATAATCTAAGTAATAAATTTATATAATCACAATTTGGTGTTTACAGCAGTTTGTGTTACTAAAAATGTGGATATGATTATTTTCTTAGACCATTAGGATAGTATTATGTAGTGATTCAGTATTTAATAGATCGCGTAGCTATATTGAGATTTTCAAGATGGACGGTATGTTGTGTGTGTCTGTCATGACAAATATGTCATGCCAATTAGTTGGTTTTGCTTAATAAGTGACGTGACCTTAAGAATTAACAATGGGAGCAAGAGATTCTAAGCCGTGTTGTATCACATACGAAGAAGCTGTCAAAAGGGGTAAGAATGGTAAAAGTGACTTAAACGAATCGTCTGCTAGGATTATATGTAATCTGGGCAATACATGAAAAATGATACTTGAAATGGAGGAATACTATCTAACAGTGACACACTGTTCTTTTATTTCAGTCACTGATGCAGAACTTAAGCGACTAAAAGAGGCGTTTAAAAGGGTTTCCACTCTGAATGGTTGCATAACAAAACAGTCTTTTATAAAAGATGTTTTGGGGGAAGGGGTGCCTACACCAGTGGCAGAGGTTAGTTTCAACTTTGTACTTCTGTATGTTTATAATTTTTTTGGGAACCTGAAGTTATGCTATGTAAGAGACAAGTGAAATTGTCAATTCTGATTGTAATTTCTTACAATTACAGTACATCTTTAGTGCTTGTGGTGGAACACAGAAAGGAATAGGTCTTAAAGATTTACTTTGTGGTCTTGTGCTGCTGACCAGAGGACGAGAGGAAGAGAAGTTAAAATGTAAGTGCAACGTTACTGTAAACATACAGGTAACAGTTTTAAATTGTTGTAAAATAACATTTGCTTTTCTTATTTTAGTTCTATTTGGGCTTTATTCAAATGAAAGTGGAAGCTATGTTGTTCGTGAGGAACTGCAGTGTATGCTTCAAGCCTGTGAGAATGGTTATGTTCCTGATTCAATTGCTAGTCTTTTCTCAGAGGTAAGTAAAAAAAAAACTCTTTGTACATGTTAGAGATTAGCAGTAAAATGTTCAAACAATGTTTATTTGCATGGGAGCGTAGGTAAGATTTTCCTTAGCAAAGTATGATTATTTCAGCGGTATGTTATCAGACTTCCCTACCTTCAACGGCCTCGACTGACTCAGGATAACTTTGGAGGACATGGATTCCTATTTGAAAGTTGTTCTCTCTGAGTCCCTCTATACATTTTGAATCATCCTGTATATATATCAACTGAATGATTCAGATTTGGTAATATAACTACAATTGTAAAGTTCATAATTGATTGTAGTTAATTATTGACAAATAAATTGTAACTCACATTATTCATATTTCTGAAATGGAAACAGAAGCTAGGTATCATAACTTTCATGTGTGAACCACGTGCATTTTAATATAATCTGTTATAGAACATAGGTAGTGTTTTGTTTGTGAATTTTATATGAGCTTTTTTTATATATAATCCTGGAGAAATCTGCAAACTGCTCCTATTGTTTGGTGGAAATTTCTTGTCCCGTAGCGAGACCGTGCATCATATGAGGAATTTCATGATTGGTTGACAGCCCATCCTGATGCAACATCTTTGAGTCGGTGGTTGCTCTCAGAACCTTGTACTATTACACTGAGCAATGAATTGGAGACACCCACATTTTACCAGACCCTGGCAGGTGTTACACATTGTGAGTAGTATATAGATACTGCAAGGAGTAACAGTATTGTAACAAGCTTTAGTTCAAATATTTGATGCATCTGTGGAACACAGTGGCTCTATAACAAGCGTTTGAGGGGAGAAAACTGAATGTATGTTTATATTTAGTGGAGGAGACGGATATCATGGAGTTGGAGAAACGATACTGGCTCTTGAAGGGGCAGTCACATACTGGAAAATTGGATCTCGACACACTAGTCCCACTCATCAGTCCCCCAGTTCCATTATCAGTTTGTCCGGGAGTGTTCGGAGCTTTTGATGAGAATCGAGACAGTCATATTGACTTCAAAGAAATGGCCTGTGGAATTTCTGCAGCTTGCAGAGGGCCACTCACAGAGAGGCAGAAATGTAAGTTCTGAAAGTGAAATTGATGTAATTTATTTCCATGAGTGTTTTGCCTCTCAAGATCCTGTTTTGTTTTGTGTTTTTCTCTGATGAATGTTAGTAATTGACACATAATATACTTCCTCTACTTTTTATTATCTGCATAAATCTTTTTGGTGATCTTTGTTAAACAAGCATCTTTTATGATGCTGTATCATAAAGGAATTTATTATTAGATAGGGTTCAGATCTGAACTTATGATCACAATTGGAATGAAATAGAAGTACATGCTATGTTAATATGTTAATGAATTTGTGATACATTACATCTTATTTATCACCAAAATATAAATAATTTGAGACTTTAGGTTCTCACAGTGATGAGGGTGACAGTGTTCTGGGTTTTGACACTGTAGACTCATAGGTATCTGCCATCAAGTCTACATGGTGTCAAAAACCAAAGAAGATGATGGCCACCTTATAAATCAGTGAGGAATTGCCAGCCTTGTTTGGTCAACAGGGTATGTGGGTTCATATTCTCCCAGGATGACACTTTTTGTTAACCAGCTGATCATTATAATGGAGATGCATTATGCTTTTAAACGAAGAACTCAATTTATAATGTTATTTAGATGAATTTCATGTTTTAAGGGATTAATAAGGATGTACTTGTTAATATGTATTATCCTACTTGTTTGTGGTGGGAATAGGGAGAACTGTCTCTGTCTGGGTAACTGGTTCTGAACTTGTTAAATATGTTTATTTATTCTTCTTCCTTAGTTTGCTTCAAAGTGTTTGACATTGACAGAGATGGAGTTCTCTCAGAAGAAGAACTTCAACACATGATTGATGTTCTGCTGTTCGTTTGTCGTGAAAACAAGTCTCCTGAAGAACTGGCGTTGGATCCTTACGGACAAGCTGGTGAGTCATAAAATTCAAAAGGGATTATTTGTATAGGATGGTAGATGGAGTAGTAATGCCATTTTATTTTTGATTACAAATTTATTTGTTTATATGTGCTTATGGGAAACATTATTTTATTGAAAAATATGTTTACTTTTCCTCTGTATTTTGTAGGTGTGAAATTACACAGTAATTAAAAGAAAAGTATGGTGCCAGATTTACAGTACCTTAGAGTCACAGCACAAAGTAATTACAGTATTTAACTAACAATAAGTTAACATTATCAGCTTTCCAGAAATGTTCTTCCTTTTATGGAACGTGAAATTCCTCACCATCTTCACAAGATCCTGACACTGGATGTTCACATGAACCAGATGAAACTAGTCCATATTGTTACACTCTGTTTGTTTAAGATCGATTTTAATATTATCCTCAATCTGAGTCTAGATCTCTAAAATGGTTTCTTGTCTTTAGGGTCTGATTACAGTATTTAAATGTTGGGAAGTAAGTGTTACAATATAAATACGTATATCTGTTTACTAACCTTGTGAACAGACACAGCTGCAGTCTTAATAGACATCCGGAAGCATGCTAGCGGTGACGGACTGTCAACTGAAGAATACCTTATGTGGACAGTGAATAATCCTCTTCCAATGGAGTTTCTGAATCTCTTATTTCAAGTAAGTTTGTACACTTTCTGTGTCTAAACTGTAATGACCTTAACCCTTGCTGTGTTAGTATTTTGCATTGTGAGTTATATTTTCTGTTATGTGATATATTTTAAACAGTTAATACAATGTGTCCGGTTTATTTTATATGTATGTGTCATAGTTCACAAGAAAATTATGTACTTCTGAATTCCTTCAGAACTGGTAGCTTCTTTTATTAGAATGTTATGTTGGTCTTACATATTCTTTATTTTTACCCTTGGATTATGAAACAAAATTGCTAACAAAATTCTTTGAGTTAGCTATGTTTCAATCAGTATATTGATGCTTCAGTGCAGTGTTCTGATATTTCATTAATTATTACTGAAAGCTTATTTAATTTGTGTATTTATATTTGATTAAGATATGTATAATTATTCAAATTCATTTTATCACCGAACATTGTTCTGCTAAAGGTTTTTGTTTGTTGCAAGGTATGTTATGTGTTAAATTATATAAGTTTTAAGTATTACCTGATTCTGTGTATCAGGTACCTAGATTATGTTAAATTAATAATTATCTCTGTTTGGTATGAGTCTGATGTTTTCAAACCCGTGTTTCTGTTATGAATTTGTTTCCTTTAAAAGATGGAACACATGATCTGAGACGAGATTCACAAGTTCACTAACGGGCAAACTAGACAGAATGATCACTATTTTATTCCAAAACATTGTGGTAAGTGACATATATATGCAAGTGGAAGAACTTAGAAAGAATGATGATGTGAATAGAATGATTAGTGCTGAAATTCCATATCACAATAATGGTTCCACAGCAATTTGATTTGCTCCTAGTCATTAAGGGTTTTAGCTGTGTTGCTTTTGAATGAAATCTGACATTAAATTACCATTCAGATTTTCCATTCTGCATGATTTCTGAGATTTACTGTCACAAGATTGCAGCTATTTGCATCCCCATCTTTGAGTCTGCAACTGCATATAGTCCCTATATTATGTCCATAGTTCATACAGAACAAATATGAAATGTAAGATCCTGTTGCAGGTATGTCACATTGTTCTTGGCCTACGACCAGTGTCACGAGAGGAAGAGGGAGACATTGTGAGAGGGTGGCTGGAACGGGAGGAACGTCGTGGTTACAGAGTTGGCCAGTTCTGGTATCTGATTGCTATGGACTGGTGGAGGAGTTGGAATGACTATGCCACCTTCAGAGTGAGTATGTTTGATTCCTTAAACAGGGTGTGTCAGCAGAATTTGGTATTTTGTAGTCCAGTGCTGTAGGAGACTGACTATAGTGGGGGAACAGTGTTTTGCATAAGTATGCTCAACAATATATGTGTGGGTTTGTAATTATGGCCAGTAAAGCAACATGCATTTATTGCAGAAACATATTCCAGATTGTAGCCCTGTCACAAATTTGACACAGCAAAGTACGGAGAATTTTAATACAAGACACAGTTTTAAGATGGGTCATTGTCTTTTGTATTCATATTAGTCACCCTCAGAAGCAAGTTCCATTTTATTAGCTACTTGTCTACAGTAAGGCACTGGAAAGCACCCAGTTTCACTGATGGACTCTGTGCCTAGTTGGCCAACCTTTTGTCATGAAAAGTAGTGGCAGAACTTCACACTGAAATGAAAATCTGAATACAATAATTAAGCAGAACAGGAATATTTTTAAGGGTGATACATAACTGTAGGAAGGTAAACAGTGTTGAAGTACACAGCCTGTCTCCAGTAGTTGACTTACTTATTTGGGATTTTCAATTTAGCTTAATCACAAAACAGAAACCAAGATATGATAAGTTGCTATGTTGATTTTTAGGTAAATTGTACTGAGAGTGCCAAACTATGGTTTTACAGCTGTGAAAATTTATATTGTGGTGTTGTGGGTTGGGTATTTTTTCTTCAAATTGATTTTAGAATGTTCTAGTACAAATTAACCAAACTGGGGCAGTTTTTAATTTTTAAAATTTGGGCAAAGAATTATTTGTGATAGCTCTATAAGTGAACTGTAAGGTGTGTGAATTGATGTCTTCTGTGCTTCCTGTTGCATGACTTGGGTGAATTTTTATACAAAAAAGAAACACTTTTTATGAGTTCTAAGAAATGTTTAAATTTGAAATGAGAGTAGAACTCTCCTGGAATCCAAAACTAAGAAATGAATTAAGAAAATGAGTTTTCATTGTGGCTTAGCTGCATGATCTGCCTGTTACGATGAATATTCTTGTGCAGGCTGGCAGTGAAAGTCCCCTGACCAACTCAGCAAATGGAAGCTGTTCAGGAAGCAATACAGGTAGCTTGAAGCGCACTGGTCGTCTGTCAGGGAGACGAATGCAGCAGCAGTTCTCTCTTGTAGAAGATTGTGTTGCCCTTGACAACAATAGTTCTGTAGTAGTGACAGGGATAAATCCACTGGACAATGCAGTATCCTGGGATACGTTTAGTTGGCAACAGCGTGCTCTTGGGGCAAGTCCTAAGAAAGCCAGTTCCAGCTCATTAAGTCTTCTGGGTACCCAAGATTGTTCAAGGTAATGTCAAGTGACAAGTTCAGAGTAGAAGTGTTACAAGGTACAGGATGCATTCTTCATTAAATCAGTGTACTCAAATATTTTTCTGTTTCACATTCTATGCTTTAGGCCTCCTAGTGTCACATCCAGTCCCAGCCATTCCCCACGGCAGCCGAGGAAGACAATGCCAAGTTCCGCAGTGGGTCCCCCCTCTGCACCAGGTCCCATAGATAATACAGTTCTGGTTGCAACCCCTGCTTGCAAGGTGGTAACACTCACAGGCGAGGGAGGCAAATTGAAGCGAAATCTAATGCTAGTGAGGTGGCGAGATTTTGAATTGGTACCTGACTCACTCTGGAAGGCTCTGTTTCAGTGGTATGGAGGTGCTCCTGCCCTACCTAGACAGGTATGTGAGTCTCTTCAGGGAAGTCTGTTTTGAAAACTAAAGTAATTTATTATGTATCTGAAAACATTCTGTAATTCACTGATCATTTGTTGGATGACACTCAACCTTCTAACATGTCATAGCAAAGAAGTCTGGACACTTATGCTTGTTCCGTTGCATGTTATATCAATAGGCTAGTGAACAGGAGTTCAGAATTAATTATTTTATGGTTGTGTTTAATGTTGATTAAATGAATGCTTCATATTGT